ATGAAGTCAAACTTCTTGAGAGTTTCAGACAAACACTAATAATCTTGGAGAAGTCAGGAGTGGTTGCACACTCCTTGGTAATCCAACCATTTTCGAGGCAGAGGCAGGAGGAATCTGAGTTCAAGGCTAGCTTGGGCTGTACAATGAGACCCTGTCTCAAAAACAATAAAAAACCTTTGAACTGATAAAATCATCCTCAAAAGACAAAAAATATAAACAGGAAGAGAAGGCTAGTTTAAATCTTCATATATTTGCTAAAGTGTTCCATGCTACGAAATACCCAAGTGACTTATGTACCCTTTTTTTTCAGTGTTGGGTATTGGGCCCAGGGCCTTGCACATGCTAGGCAAGCACCTTACCATTGAGCACATCCCCTAAAATCCCTCTATTGGGTCTGGGAACCTAAAGGACAAATGAGTGAGTCAGTATCCCATCCCCCATGGAGAGCACTATGGGCCCTGCACCCTGAGGAGCTCATACATCCACATTCCTGAACTCAGAGGAGGAGATACAGGGTCTCATAAATCTGCCACAGGGCTGGTAAATAGAATGCTCTCAAAGTTGTTTCCCCCCAATAAGAGGCAAACAGACCAGCTCATTGAAGAGAGCCCATGCACACGAATCCACAGCCAATGATAAGAACCTACCTAATCCTTACCCTAACCAGAGTTAAAGCATCCATAAAAAACCCCAGCCTTCACCTGAGCAGGGTGCCACTGGTTTCCTGGCATCGCTGCACTGCTCTAGCTGTAGCCTTTCCTTTCTAATAAATCCTACTTTGTGTACCAGCCTTGTGTCAAGAGTCAATCAGCTGCCTCATGAGTCAGTTCTCTGGCCTGTGAAGGCAAGACCCTCAACACCAGCCTACAACATTTCACACTGGCAAGTAACACCTCCATAGAGAGAAACCTGCAGATCACAGCCGCTTAATCTGTACATTGTAATTCTATGTAACCCAGCAATTCTGCACATAGGTTTGTATCAAACAAAAATGCATACCAGACTGAGGGATGTAGCTCAGTGTTAAGAGTGTTTGCCTAACATTTGCAAGACCCTGGGTTCTGGCCCAGCACCCCTTCCCACAAAAAAAGCATGCTTAGGTTCACCAAAAGTCTTATACTGTCATGTGCATAGTAGCTTTTTGGTTTTTTTTTTTGGTGGTGTTACCAGACTGAATAGTCTAAGAAGACACTAGTCCGGAAGATTCTGAGTTCTTGTGTCACCTGAACAGAGAACTGACCAGAGACACAAATCGCAAAACAGTAGCAAAACTTTATTGAAACAAAAGTGGGCTGGCAGAGTGGCTCAAGTGGTAAGAGTGCCTGCATCTAGGAAGTATGAGAGGCCCTGAGTTCAAATCCTCAACAGTAAGAACTGTAAGGGAAGTGGTGGGCCCTTGCCAGGTGGCATAGGAGCATTGATTTCTTTGGTTCAGCCCAATTTATAAATTGTAAGGCAGGAAAAATCTGGGCAGTCCTTAGGGAGGGGCCAGGGTGTAGATGGCAGGCATACTTAACACAGCCTTATTCACAAACTTTTGCCAACTTTTGACCTTTAGCTGTATGTATGAGATGCAACCATTGTTCATAAAACCCTCCATAAGAGGACTTGGCATGGAAAGTCACATTGGGGCCAACCTTTTTTTAACAAGCAAGCATGCCCAAAGGCGGCGTTTCTGGATGCTACCTTGATAACTTAGAGGGGATTTATTGCTGTAGATGGCTCAGGGTCTGTGGTGGGGAATGCCTGTTTGTTTAAGAGAAGAAGGGTCCCATGGTGGGCTATTTTCCTTTGCTGACTGCCTCAGTGGGACTGGGATTTGAACTTAGGGTTTCAGCACTTACAAAGCAAGCATTCTACTGCTTGAGCCACACTTCCAGTACAGTAGCTTTCTTTATAATAGCTAAAAACTGGAAAAAATTTAAATGTCCATCAAGAGGAATAGAATAATGGAATACTGTACAACAAATGGAAATAATTTTTTTGTTTGAGTTTTTTTTTTTTTTTTTGGTGGTACTGATTTGTGTGTGTGTGTGAGAGAGAGACTGGGGTTTGAACTCAGGCTTTATGCTTGCAAAGCAGACGCTCTACCATTTAAGCACACTTCCAGTCCATTTTGCTCTGCTTATTTTGGAGATGGGAATCTCACAAACTGTTTGCCCAGGCTGACTTTGAAACTCAGATCCTTCTGCTCTCAGCCTCCCAAATAGGTAGGATTACAGGAGTGAGCCACCAGCACTTGGCTGGTACTGATATTTGAACTGGGGTCTCCTGCTTGCTACGTAGGGGCTCTACCATTTAAACCACACCCCCAGCCCCTGGTGAACATTTTAAACAACAGCAGCAGCTGAGTAGGTACAGTTAACTGCTCAAGCTGAACTAGAGCCAGCCATGGCCAGGGCTTGCTCTCTGTCCCCAAGACTTCATCCATTTGGGCCTTGCACTAATATCTATTACAGGCTGCTATAAAGTCATGGTATCTTTGTTATTATTGTCACACATTGGCAACCAAGTTGGCTGGGTGCTGGTGGTTCATGCCTGTAATCCTAGCTATTCAGGCAGGAGACAGAGATCAGGAGGATCATGGTTTGAAGCCATTCCTGGCAAATAGTTCGAGAGACCCTATCTTGAAAAAACCATCACAAAAAAGGGCTGGTGGAGTAATTCAGTTGGTAAGATCACCTGCCTCGAAAGCGTGAGGCCCTGAGTTCATCCCCAGTGCCGCCAAAAAAAAAAAAAAAACCCAGAAATATATATATAACTTACTCTGTACGCCATTGTATTTGTACTGCCACATACTGAGTTTTACACAAAACAAACATGCTAAACTTAATGGAGTAAGGGATTTTCCAGGGCAATTTTGACCATATGACAAAATTGTCACCTGATCCCTCTTCAGTATCTCTGCAAAATGTGAAACTCCTAACACAGTTCTGGGCAACCATTACTGCCTTGGCCTAGGTTCCTTAACTCACCCTACATGGCCTCTGTGCCCTGGCACCTGCTTCCTTAGCCTTGCTGTCATTCATTCGTCCTGCTGCAGCAACCTGACCAATTCCTACTACCCCAAACCTACCTACTTCTTGCCTTTTTCACTCGACTTCTCTGGAATGCCTTCTACCAGCAGCATTCCTTTCGAATCCCGCACCAGCTTGTCCTAGAAACCTAACTGAGGGCAACGGGAGATGCCAGAAAAGACAGACAAAAGACCAAATATGCATAAAGCTGGTGCCAGGTAGCCTTGGGTGCTCGGATGGAGACACAAGAGCACCCCCTACCTCCAGTGTGTTTATTATATAGAGTAGCAACACTAGGCAGAGAGGCATTTCTCAGGGGAGGGGGCATGACACCATGATCCTCTGGAACAGGAAGAACCTGTGACAGCTTTTCTCCAAACATAAACATTAAAGGAAAAAACAGCTGGTACAGCATCTTGCCCACTTCTGCAGCTGAGGCTGAGCCAATCAAGCGTGCAATTTTACTGGGCATAACCAGCTCCCTTCTGCAGTTTGGGGCTATGCCAAACTCAAACACACAGCTTATTCAATACACCTGTCATCTCCCCGCACAACCCTAACCCAGCCTCCAAACTGCAGAAGTTCCTCTCACTCCAATTCCCAGCCATCCTTTAAGATTCATCCCAGCTGTCCCCTCTTCTAGGACACTTTCCTGTCTTAACTGCTTGACCCATGCTTAAGAGTCCTAGAGTACTTTCTGTCTCCCTAACTTCATTTACTAGGTGGTAAATTTTTGTATCATCTCTGAAGCGCTTAGTACAAATTATTAAATTTGAATCAGAAACTAACCCTCACCACACCTATGCAATAGATATTCATGTTATTAAAAGAAGAAGCAAAGGCACAGGATGGTGAAAGAATTTGCCCAGGAATGCATACTGGCCTTCAGGTAATCATGCCCAGTCTGACTGCACAGTTGATGGCCATCCATGTTCTATTATGTTGCCTCTCTACAATAGGCACTCAGTAAATGCTAAGTAAACACTAGTTACACTCATTTAGTGGATACTATGTACCAGGCTCTGTACCCTGCTTTACATGGACTATTTTAACTTTACAACAACCCTATGACGCAAGTGCTGACATTATTCCCATTTTGCATGAAGAAAAAAAAATTTAGAGAAGTTTGGCAACCTCCCCAAGGTCACATGGCTAATTCGTGGCATGTTTTCACTCAAGATCAACCTTTTGAGCCCCACGAGTGGCATACCCGTAATCACAGGTACTCAGGAGGCTAAGGAAAGAAGATGGCTTGAGCCTGGGCGACATAGCAAGACACTGTCTAAAAAACAAAACAGAACCAAAAGTCTCAGCCTTTACACTCTACCGAATGCGACCAACAGCTCAAGGATTGGCATCCAGTTTGAAGAAGAGCTTGGAGACCCATGAAATCTTACGCCTTGAGCCTGGAACACAGAGTTCTGAACCTCAGACATAAAGCACAGGTTTGACTCACAACCAGTGGCAGAAAGAGACCTGTCCCCAAACATAACCCAGAATCACAGGGAAAGGGAAGCCAGGCCAGCACAATCGAAGCCTTTCCTTGACGCCCTGCCCCTCATTCCTGGGGAGTAGGTTGCCCAGGTGGCACAAAGGTCTCTACTGTTGAGGACACACCCACGGGGATTTCAAAGGCGATGATGTCATCAAAGGGTTAATTCTGACTGTCCTAGGGCAGGTGCTCTGGCGGCGACAGATAGGTTAACCGCCCTGAGGTCCTCCCCGCGGAGGCGAAGCCTAGGGGTGAATCGCGGCCTGGGTAGTGACTGGGTTAACCGCCGCGAGTGGCCTCCACGGGGGAGACGCGCGCTAGGCGACTGCTACCCGATGGTGTGTTAACCGCCCGGTGAGGTTCCTGCGGGGGCGTGGCACTGGCGGGCGTGGCCTGGGCGGTGACCAGAGGGTCCACCTCCACCCAGGCCCCAGGGGGCGGGGCGCGCCCTCATCCAGGCGCTGGAGGCGGAAGCGGCCGGCGGTCAGCGCCCCGCGCGCATCGGATGCTTTCGGCTGGGCTACTTCGGAGGTCCGCCGGCCTCCCGCCTGCGAAGCCAAGCGAGGTTCGAGGGCCGGATCAGGGACTTCGGGGCGGACAAGGGGGACGGCCCGGATTGAGGTCCGAAGACAGCGAACTCATGAGAGGTTCGGGTGATCCAGCATTGATGGAGGGAAAGCAGGGTCATGGATCTAGGAGGTTTGGGGGAGCAAAGGGGGTGGAGCCGGCGGGTCGGCACACATGGGCGAACGAATAGAGTGTCTGGGTGAGGACCCGCAGCCGGGATACTGCACTTCGTATCATTTTCCTTCCCCAACCCCCCTCTAGCTCAATCTGGATCTGAAGCTCAGCTTTCAGAGAGACGCCCCAGCAAGACTGTTTTGGGGAGTCCTCCAGCTGCTCACCTCTATGGGCCAGACAGCCCTGGCAGGGGGCAGCAGCAGCACCCGCACCTCGCCGGCCCTGTACTCTGACCTCTCTTGTCCCGAGGGTTTGGAGGAGCTCCTGTCTGCTCCCCCTCCTGACCTGGGGGTCCAACGGCGTCACGGCTGGAACCCCAAGGACTGCTCAGAGAACATCGAGGTCAAGGAAGGGGGTCTATGCTTTGAGCGGCGGCCTGTGGCCCAGAGTACTGATGGAGCCCGGGGAAAGAGGGGCTACTCGAGGGGCCTGCACGCCTGGGAGATTAGCTGGCCCCCAGAGCAGAGGGGCACACACGCCGTGGTGGGCGTGGCCACGGCCTTCGCTCCGTTGCAGGCTGACCACTACGCGGCGCTGCTGGGCAGTAACAGCGAGTCGTGGGGCTGGGACATTGGGCGGGGAAAGCTGTACCATCAGAGCAAGAAGCCCGAGGCCCCCCAGTATCCCGCCGGATCTCAGGGTGAACAGCTGGAGGTGCCAGAAAGGCTAATGGTGGTTCTGGACATGGAGGAGGGAACTCTGGGCTACGCTGTTGGGGGCACCTACCTAGGGCCTGCCTTCCGTGGACTGAAGGGCAGGACCCTCTATCCAGCTGTAAGCGCTGTCTGGGTCCAGTGCCAGGTCCGCATCCACTACCTGGGCGAAAGGAGAGGTGAGGTCTTGGGCACGTGTGGGAAGAGTACTCTGTCACTGGTAGCAGTAGTTTGGGATGGAAACTCAATGTCGGACAATTGCAAAGGGGGTTGACTTCATTTGCTTTGCCTTCAGTCCTAATTCACTACTAGGAATGGCCAAGGGACTTCACAGCTGTTATTTAACTTAATTTAGCAGAAAGCTGTAAAACTGAGAGTGGGAAACGCAGTTTGCTCAAGTTCTTTTGACAAGTGGTGGGTCCTTAGAATTGAGGGAGACATTCAGGGATTAGAAGGCTGGCGGAAGGGTTAAATGGGTACACCTCCAAAAAGAGAAGGACTGGCAATACTAGGCACCAAGGGTGTGTGCCAGATTCCCTGGGCTCTGGCCTGTCTTTGTGCCACATACCTACTTCCTCAAATCCCAGGATGGAGCAAATGGGGCCTTTTGCACCAGGAAGGAGTCTTGAAGGTAGGGGTGGGGCCACAGGGGAGGAGCCTCCCAGAAACTGACAGGGCCAGGGCTAGGAGCTGGAGCTCTGCAGCTGGAGTCTTTGCAAAGGGCAGATGCCTGTCCTCCCATCACCCAAAGTGAGCCACACAGAGTGGAAGAGGGTTATCATCCTGCTACCTTTCAGCCCAGCGTCACCACAGTGGCCTGTTGCTTAGAGGGTCTTAGCTAGAGCTAAGGGATGTGTGAGTCTGGAGAACTTAAGGAAACCTTAGATCTCCCTCAGACAAGATGGAGCAGGAAAACAGAGGGGAGCCTGGCTAGGATCTTGTAGTTTGAGGATGTCTGGCTGGTAGCTGCACCTCTACTTACCTTCCCCTCCTTCTCTCCCCCAGCAGAGCCACATTCCCTTCTGCACCTGAGCCGCCTGTGTGTGCGCCATGCCCTGGGGGATACTTGGCTTGGTCAGGTATCTTCTCTGCCCTTGCCCCCTACCATGAAGCAATACCTGCTGTACCAGTGACCTGTGATACCACAGATCGTGTTGGCAGTTTGCCACCACCACTACCCTGGGTTTGGTGGGGAGGCACTGCTGGCCTAGACCAGCTACTTAAAGTCAGTGAGACTGATGGGAGAAGAGGCTGTGCCTTCTCCCCAGCCTAAGCTCAGGGGAGCTCTACAGCCCTAGAGCCAGAGGGGTGGGAGGGGGAGGATATTCAAGGCTGTAGCAGCATGGTACACAAGACATTTTTTCAAGTAAAAATAGTAAGAGATGTATTGTTACAGAAACCTGTTCATGTTTTTTTCTTTAAAAAAAAAAAAAACCCACAAAGGAAACAGTCCTGTGACTATCTCAAGGAAATAGATGATATGGGTAAATGCAGTGAAGGACGACAACCACAAGGCTTAGTGCTAGGTGTTTATTTCCCTTCCATGTTGGATGGCTCACATACACTACACATAGGCATCACACCATGGGAGAGGGGAGCATCCCTGGCCTCTTCGGGGGGGATCTTGGCCTCATGGTGTGGGAGAGGAGAGGGAAGAGGAGGGTGGTTTTGCTCTCCAGACCTCACTGGGGCCTCAGGGGACACATGAACAAGCTCCACTCTTTCTACCTCTCAGCCAAGGACAAGCTACCTTGGTGACATGTTTCATTCTAAAGTGGTGAAGGCATTGGCCTGGTCCCAACCATTATAGGGAGAAGGTGTAACCGGTAAAAGAAAGTCCAGTTTGGATTAGGCCACAAGAGGGAGCAGATGACACCATCAGAAAGAAGCATGTGAAGGGTGGGAGCAGTTACTCGGGCTATCTAGTCCCTTGGCTTAGCAGAATAGGGGAGATGGTTGGCTCTTATTGTTTGGCATTGATGATGTCCACAAATTCAGGCTTGAGGGAGGCACCACCCACAAGGAAGCCATCTACATCAGGCTGGCTTGCCAGCTCTTTGCAGGTTGCCCCAGTCACAGAACCTGGGAAGGGAGCAGAAAGAGGGCTAGGTGAGAGATGAGATGAGTATTCTCCAACCCTACTTCCATGTCTAAGATGTCTAAGAAGAACTCAGTCTATTCAGCCCATCCCACCTTGGCTGAAGCCAAACCCACTCACCTCCATAAATGATGCGGGTGCTCTGAGCTACTGCATCAGAGACATTGGACTTAAGCCATCCCCGGAGCTTCTCGTGTACTTCCTGGGCCTAGAGCAAGAAGGCAAACTAAGTGAGACAAATCCTTCCTGCCTCATTAAAAGAGGAAAACCCATTTGCATCTGAGTTAGTTTGGTTTCCAGGCAAGAGGCCTGGGATCTGAGTCAACACCAAGACTCCCATTCCAGGTAGGCCCTGGAATGTATGTACTTGAGCAAGTCATTGTCTTTTTTTTTTTTTTTTGGCAATATTGGGGCTTGAACTTGGGGCCTCTCGAGCCACTCCACCAGCCCAATTTTTTGTGATAGGATCTTGTGAACTATTTGCCTGGGCTAGCTTCAAACTGCAATCTCCCTGATCTCAGCTTCCTGAGTAGCTAGGTGGCGTGAGCCACCTGCACCCAGCAAATTATTGTCTTTAAAATAAGGGACAGGCCTAGATAGTTTCTGTGCCTGTCCAGTTCTACTGAGGCAAGATCGGTTAAGGGTAGAAAGAGAGCTTCTGGGCTCAGTTACCTGTTGAGGTGTTGCGGTCTTGCCAGTACCAATGGCCCACACAGGTTCATAGGCCAAGACAATCTTGTTCCAGTCATTCACATTATCTGCAGGACAGAGATCACAGATAGAGGGAAGGGTGACTAGGAAGGAGCTTTCTAGCTAAGTTCCCCAGGGTATGAAGAATGGTGATGCCCCTAATGCTTCTTAAGGACCTCCAGGTGGTATGCATACCTTCAGTGGCAGGAGCAGAAATGCTAAGGACCACGCAAGCAACCCTCTCCTCTTTTACCTGGATCAGCATGCGGATCAAAGCAGGCTGCAGGGCTTCTAACCCCACTCTTTGTGTCTCTGTGACCCTGACTAGGTTCAAAGGTCCCTTGCTCCAGAAGTACCTGCGATGACCTTGGTTTGCTCGAAAACGACCTTCTCAGTGATGCCAGCTTCTCTCTCATCTAGCTTCTCCCCAATGCAGGCGATCACTCCCAGTCCCTCTGCCAGGGCATGAGCCACTTTCTGCCCAATCAGCTGTTGAGAAATAGACTTTAAGTGAGGCAATTTTTTTTTTTTTGCTGTAACTGGAGTTTGAACTCAGGGCCTCAAGCTCGATAGGTAGGAGCTCTACCACTTGAGCCACTCCACCAGCCTAAGACATCCTTCTTTAAAAAAGGCATCTTGCCTCCTCTTCTGGTTACTAACCTCATCTGACTCCCCAAAGACATGCCTTCTCTCTGAGTGCCCCAGGACTACCCACGTGGCTCCACAGTCTTTGATCATGCCAGGGCTAAGGGAAGAGAGAAAGCCAGGATTCAGCAGGGAGTGCATCCTGCAGCTTCTCCTCAGGAGGAAAGTGAGAGAAGGGTCATCACACACCTGTCTGCTTCCATCTCACCTGATCTCTCCAGTGAAGGCCCCATTAGTCACTTTGTAGCAGTTCTGTGCAGCCACAGCAATCTTGGGATCCAGCTTTTGCCTGGCAAAGTCAATGTAGGCAGTGGGGGGTGCACAAACCACCTCTGAGGATGAAATACGGTGGCCATGGAAATGAGATCAAAGAAAGCCTTCATTATTCAGACTTGCTGTCCAGTGTTCTGGAGTCCCCTAGCATCCTCTTTCTTGGTTCTGCTTTCCTCCCTTTTCACCCCAGCGAGATGACCTTTGTCCACTTCCCAGCCCATGCTGGGCCTATACCCAACTCCCTAAGCCTTCCAAAGGCCCCTGACAAGCCATGGCCCTTCCCCTGCCCTCTGCTCTTTTAACAACCATGGCTCTAATTTCCTCGGGCTATTCTGGGCATGAGCACCTCCCAGACTCAGCATTCTTTGGGGGCCAGCCCTGTCTCCCTTCTAAAATAGCCCATCCCCACTTTCAAGGCAAGGATTTTTAGCAAAAGAAGGGGCCAACTTGTGGGGTTTACATAGGGATCTTTGAAAACTACATGAGAAGGGGATGATGCCCTTTTGGACAGACCCATGGCTCTATGATTTAGGTGGGTGGGAGGGGAAGGATGGAGAACAACTCTGTCCTTGGGGGGCAGGGAACTGACTGGTGCTCGTGCAGGGCTAGCACTTTCTCGTTTCCAGGCTGGGGGAAGATATAGGATCACTCCTCATTCCCAAATAGCTCAGCCTGTTTGGCACCTGCTCAATCCTTTCCATGGAAGGCAGGAGTCACCCGGGCTGCGAGGGGAAGGGATCAAGGGGGTGGCTTAGGCCCAGCCGTGCAAGGCGCGGGGAGGAGCTCTGGGCTACGTGCGGAGGCGCACGGAACCGGAGGCCGTGGGGGCCGGTAGCTGGGAGCCCGCGCAAGCTGAGCTTCCTCCCCCACACACTGGGAGGCTGTAGCCCTTCTCGCGATCGCCTACAGACACTCAGGCTGTGCTCCTTCCCAACTACTGGCTGGTCAGCCCCAGTCCATGCCTAGGGGCCATCTTCCTCCTGGAGACGCAATAAGACCTTTCCCGCCCCACAGGCCGAAGGCACCATTAAATGCCTCCCCACTACCCCCTCAACATATCTCGGCTACTGCGGCCGCGAGACCACTGCGCTGTAGGGCCACTGCCCAGACACCCAACGGCCTTTGTCCCCCGGCTCTGCATCCAGGTCCACGCGAACACCAGGGCTCAGGGATCTCAGAAGAGGGCGCTGCCACGCCCGACCTCCTTCCCAGAGCGGGAGCTCCCGGAGGGGGCTTACCGGTGTCGGCCGGCACCTTGGCAGCGTTCAAGGTACTGATGAGTTCCCCCAGAGAATTCTTCCGCCCATTCATCTTCCAGTTGCCACCCACAAAGAACTTCCTGGAGGGCGCCATGTCGCAGGGACCGATACTCCGAAGGTCAGTATCAGCACGCAGCTGTGGCCACAGGCCGCTTATATAGAGCAGTGTGAAGCAGAACTCCTCCTCCTCCCCGCCCTCCGCCATGGTTAGCCCGGCCCCCTGCCTGGGAGGCCGTCCCTCCCCACCCCCCCACACCCGCAACCCGCCTGCCTAGTGTTGCAATGTTCTGACGTTCCGCCTTTCTTGTACCAACGTTCTAGGGGGCGGTCTGGGGGCGCAGTGCTCCTACCTCAATTGCCTGCTGGGAGAGGAGTCCTGCCTTCAGGGGAACCCACTTTACGATTTCAGTTCCCCTCAGTGGAGATAGTTAGCAACTTGGCCTTAGACCAAATTGCTCACTGAGGCTGAGAGGGCACCTCTCCAACTCTGGAAGAGCCCCATTCTTCCATCACATCCAGGATTGCTGAGCGGGCACCTTTGGTGTAGCCCCAGTTGCTGGGCAAATACAGGCTCCAGTCTGGGAGGGCAACCCACACTGGCATGGAAGAGCTAAGGGCAGCTGTACAAGTGTGCAGACAATACGCCTCACCCCACCCGAGTAGCCCACTCTTTACTCAGGTGGCCAAAGCCTGAGGAGCTGCAGGGGCCAAGCGCAGGTGTCTCCAGCCTATAATCGTAGCTACTAGGGAGGCTGAGATAGATCAAAGCCCAGGCAAAAAGCTCAGGAGACCCCCATCTGCAAAATAACCAGAGCAAAACGGACTGAAGCTCAAACTGCAAGCATGAAGCGCTGAGTTCAAACCCCAGTCCCACCAAAAAAAAAAAAAAAAAAAAAAACCTGCTGGGACTGCTGAAACCCAGTAGCCACTAGAAACATTTGGGAAACACTAGGACCCCCTCCTATGTGATTGTTGGAAGGAAGGGCTCTTCATTCCCTTTTCCTTTGCTTGGTGCTCTGCATTTTGTTACTCTATTCCACTTCTATTGTCTGGGATGCAAGAGAGGCAAAGGGCAGAGATGGAGAGCATCTGAACCTGGCCCCCTCCAGTCATCATCCCCAGGCAGTTAAGTCTCCCCAAAGGTACAAAACAAGATGAGTTTAGCCACTGTACTTTTATTCACATCGTGTATTTTGGCATTTTCCAGAGGACAAGGAAGAGACAGGATGGGAGAAAGACTGAGGCAGGAGAGCAAGGGGGGCGGTCCCCATTTCCCTCATATCCCTCCTTGCCCAACCACACGGGGAGCAAACACATAGGGGGAAGGGAGACACACAGCCTCCCTCCCCGGGAAGAGAATGCACAAAGCTACACCCACGCGCACATACAGATAAGACCCCATCCCTCCACACCTGGGGCTGGGCAGGGTTACACAGAGAAGCAGAGCACTGTGGATTCAAGGGGCAGGGGAAGTAACAAGGTCTCCTTACAGACAGGCATCGGCCCCACTCCTGTCCCCTTCCTGCTCTATCCCCAAAGTCTAACAAAGTGTTCCTCCACTTTGCTTGGCCACTGTCCTATGGCCTCCAGCTTCTTCCCTGCAGCTGGGGACAAAAAGAAAAAGGGCACAGAGCAGGGGGCTAAAGTCCATCCCTCAGCCCCTGTCCCTCATGTCAGGTGGTCTGTCCCTTGCCCTCAGTGGTAAAAGTTGAGGGCAGGCTCTTAACTGGCTACTCTCTGGTAGAAGTAGATATAGCCCAGGTCTTTGGGTGGCTTCTCAGAGGCACACACTTTCTGGTCATTGTAGATCACCCATCTAGGGAGATAGGGAAAAGGACAGAAAAGGATAAACAAATTGGGCACATCAACTTTGTCTCTCAGTCCAAGGTCCTAAGGTCCTAAGACAAGGCTCCTACCATTCAGTCCCTGGATCCCCAAATCTAAAGTACAGCTGCTGTAAGTATGACACAATGTCATAAATAGTCATTTTTCCTATTTGGTGCCTTTAGACTCTCCAGTATCTTTTCAACCACTCCCACCAACTCCTGAGGGGCAGGGGTCAGCAAACTTTTTCCAAGCCAGACAGACCAATATTTTCTCTCAACTTTCCTCTTTTTTTTGGTGGTACTGGGTTTTGAACTCAGGGCCTCACACTTGTTAGGCAGGCACTCTACCACTTGAGCCACTCTGCCAGTTCAACTTTCCTCTAGCCACATGAAAATGGCCACAGGCAATACAAACAAGTAGTAAGTACATGGCTATATTCCAGTAAAATATTATTTACAAAAGCAGTTGGCCAGATTCAGCCTCTGGGCTGTAGTTTGCGACAGGGATACATTCTCTCAATCTCAGGGGTATTTATGCCCTGCTCCAGCAGTCCTCTGCTTCTCCCACAAATATTCTAAGGACTTCAAGATTGCCCTTCTTCATTCCCACCATCACCTCTCCATTCATAATGCACAGCTTTTTTATTTTTTGTTTTTAAACAATGCACACTGTTACCCTCACCTGCCTTCCTTCTTGATGTGGCAGACGTAGTGACCACACATGGTGGAGGTGCCCATGTGACTTATGAAGGCAAAGAGCTGATACTCTGGGGAAGAAGGCAGGGGAGAAAATGAGAGAGGGATCCTTGAGTGACAATCCAAAGATGTATCTAACAGCTTAAACTCACACAAGAGTGTCAAGGAACATGGAACATACTGTGGGCCAAAGGCTATCTCAACCTCCCAGAATCCCATCCTCACAAGTCCTGTAAGTGGAAAGAGGCTTCTGATCTCTCACAAGCCGAGGCAGCTGCCTTGAGGGGCCTGACATAGCAGAGTGCCCAGACTCCACCAGGACTGGCCTTGACACTCACTTCCAGAACCATCCCGGACTTTAGGTCCCACTGGCACAGATTCGGAGATGGAGTCAGCAGCTGAGCGGCCCTCTGAAATATCCATGGCAGCTTCTGCGTCCAGGTCATCAATGTGACTGAAGATCCAGTCCACAGCCCGTTCTAAACTATTGTTCTTAGAGAGGAGGGAACTGTTACTTTTTCTACCGCGTTCTGAGGCAGGAGCACCAGCAGGGAAAGGAAGACTCAGTTGTCCATCACAGCAACACAAGGGATTCCTCAAGCCTCAGCTGCACCACACTTGTCCTTTGTCCTGCTCACACAGATGGAACCACATTCCCAATCCCCTCCCCACTCCTACCCTGTCTTCCCCCCATACCGTGGCCCGCAGAGCTTTCAGGGCCTGGTCCCTCGAGAAGCCCATAGAGACAATGGTGGTCACACAGTCCTCTGGTGGAGGGTCAGCTGATGCACTTGTGGAGCCAGGCCCACTGGAGCCAGGCAGGATGAGGGGGTTTGCGAAATCTGTGGATGTGAAGGGGTTGAAGTGTTTGGGGAGATATGGAGGCCTTGCCCCATCCTGCCACCCAGTCCTGCCTACCTGGATCATCCATGTGCGACATAACCCAGTTCATGGCAGCCTCGGCCCCACTGTTGCCCGTGTAGTAGACAGCTTTTCGGCAGGCATCCATAGGAAAGCCCATTTCCACCAGCTGTATGATGACTGATTCGTCCAACATAGGTGCTGTAGTGGGGAAGATGGGTGCTATGACCTGACTACTTGGGCTAGTATTTCTATTTGTTGTTCTTCTTTCCTTCCTACACACCAGGCCCTAAGCCCTCTTCCAGTCACCCACTGCATGCATTTTTCTTCCACTGACTGGCACCTTAACTAAAATAACCACACAACATAATATGGGCCTGGTATACCAAAGGTTATCAATTTCCTGCCCATTTCTGGTGCATGACACTCCCACCCAACCCAAACCAAGGAGGAAACAAGGATGTAGAGGCAATTAGCCAGTGCTACTGCCATCCACATCAAGAATGTGGCTGAAGGACTCTAGTCAGTCCCCACATCCATCAAGAGGGAAGAGGAAATTTGAAAGGGAGGACAGGAGAAACATAAAGGACAGGGTCGGGGGAGGCAAGGCAGAGAAGCCCCATCAGCAAGAGAGAAAGACAGGAAGGAAGAAGAGTCACTAACATGTCGGAGAGGAGAAGTGAGGGGAGCAGAAGGAGTCTTCGTCTTCGTTGCCATAGAAACCAAGGCTACCTTTGGGCTCATCCGGAGTGACCAGGGGTGGGGCAATGTCAGGTAGCTCCTCCTCTCCTGGCTGCAGCCCTGTACCCCTCAACTGGGAGATGTCTAGCTCCTCTGGCATCTCAATGGACACATCTACAATTGGAAGGACAGGAGAGGGGTCACCTCAGCTTCTGAGGCCACCTAAAAAGCACTTTGGGACTCTCAAGCCCCTTCCCCAAAGCAGTTCCAACCTTGGTGAGAGGGTGTGGGGGGGGGTGTAACAGAAACATTAGTGAGTCTAGGGGTCAAGAGACCGATGTTGGTCCTAGATCTAGCATCATGAGCTACACACAAGGCAGGGAGCCTCTGACTTGTGAAAAAAGAATGACTTATACACTTCTGTGGGTCTCAACTTCCTTATCTAGAAAACAAAAGCAAATCAGCAGTTCTCAAGTTATAGTCAGAGACCTGTAAGAGGTGTGAGAATTGTTTCAATATTATTAAGATGAAAACACCATCCAGGCATGGCAGTGCATGTTTATAATCTCAGTACTTGAGCAGCTAAGGCAGGAGGATGGAGTTTAAGCACAGACTCTAATATATACAAAGACCCTGTCTCAAAAACACACAAAAAAAATGAAAACATCTTTATGAATTATAAAAATAAAACCATGAAAATCATTTTCAGTTGTAAATTGTAACTATAATTTAAGTATTTAAATAGTTTTAGTCAGTGCTTTTCAAACTGGTCACATTTTGAAAATCTACGATAATGTTTTCCCCTTTCAGAGAAAAGTCTGGGACATTGACACAGTTGACATGTGCTAGAGTCCTGTCTTTTTCTAGTATTTTCTGCATCCCAGCCACCATACCCAGTTTCTTGGGCACCCAGTCTAAGCCGAAGGTGAACTTCTTGATCTGGATGACCAGGTAGTCAGGGAATGAGGCAAACCGTGTGGTCCTGGGGAAAAAAAGAATGTGCTGGTACCCAGAGACCCCTTGGGCTCTCCTCTCTTGTAATTCCCAAACCAGGGCTTGACCTCTCCTGGGTAGAGTCTCAGTAACCCAGATGATACTCCCCACTCTTAAGTCCTGGGAAGGCATCAGATACCCATGACAAGTCAATGCAGAAGCCAGGAGAGGGCTGTTTTATTGACAAGAGAAGCAAGGGACTGGGGGCGCTAAATCCCTTCAGATCTTGAGCCTGTGTCAGGGGCCAATGGCCAGGCAGAAAGGCAGGCTATTAGTGGAAGTGAGATTCTGCCCACAGCTGATACTCAGTGCCTGTGTCCTGCCACAATGGAGAGAGGAAGTACAGAGAAGCTGTACTAGAAAGAGACCCTGCCCCATGAGAGAAGAGGGAGTGGTCAACAAGACAAGTTAACCATTGCCTGTGTCTACCCGTTATGACCTCCCAGTTCCCTTAGGGACAGATCACCGCCCCCGGCAGATTCAACCTTGAAATCCCAACCAAAAGGGATGACAGACTAGCCAAGAAGATGTGTTTAGGGATCACCCTGCCACAGGCCCACAGTCTAAGCACAGGCAGAAATGACATACTTGACAGCTACTGATTTGGCCTGCAAAGCTGTGCTCCAGAAGTCATCCACCTGCTCAGGAGCCCCATAGGCCTCTAGACAGGAGCTGAAGGGCACTTGGGCCCGAACCAGTTCTGGTAGCGGCACCTTCTCCTCTTCTGCTTGTCGTTTCTTCTCCTCATATTCCAGAAGCTCCTCTGGTGAAAGAGTCAGTGGTGTGTTCTTAAGAGGATGCCCTACCTCAGTCTTGCCCTCCTGGCTCTGTGCTCGTGACTATTCCAGCTTTTCTGCCCTCGTCAAGTCCACTAAGCACATTTCCCTACTTATCTTGCCTCTGTCTCAACATGGCTCAGCTAACAAGCTTTGGGCAAGGTTAACCCTTGCCCTTGTAGTCCAGCTTTGGGCCTCGGGCTGGGGAAGCAGGGCAAACCATGGGCTCTGCTCTCTATCAGGTGCACATGCATTCCTCAGAGACCTCAGTCAGCCTCCATCTTCACCAAGGCCTTGCTGAGGAAACAACCTACCTTTGTTAAGGGCTGCATCCATGGGCACTGGCAGCTGCATGATGTAGTCAACTCGCTGGGTGTACTTAACCTTTTCTGTGGCCAGACACTTGATCTTTTCCTCCACCAAGAAACGAAATACTTCATTAGGATTTTCAGAGCTCCGGCAATTCCTCTATGGGAAAGAAGCGGTGTGAAGAGATCTGAGCAGCCAGGAAATAGCATGGGGCCTTTCGACTTTTGAAGTGATAGGGGGAGGATGGAGTGGATGCAGGAAAACTACTCGGGGCCACAGAGATATCTAATAGATATCTCAGGGCCTCACACTTGCTAGGAAGGTACTCTGCCACTTGAGCCACACCTCCTATATTTTTCTTTATAAGCAACAATTATCTCATGCCATTTTCTTTCTTTCCTTTTGTGTCCCCCTGAGTGCTGGGGATGGAACCCAGGGTTCATGCATGCCAGGCAAGTGCTCTACCATTGCGCCATATCCCTCAACCCTCTCATGCTATTTGCTTTGAATGTATCCTTCAATTAGGCTGCAAGCCCATCACAGGTAAGGGTCATCACTTGTCTTGACTATACTTCTTGACGAAGTATTTGAACACAAACACTACTCACAGGGCAAGCTCAGTGCAAGCAGACTGTCCAGTTACGGGGATAGGAATGGGCTGAGGCTGACAGAAAACTGTCAGTGGGTGTGAACTGCACACAGACAGAATGAAAGTGAAGAGTGGCCCCTTTGCCATTTTCCCAACCCTTACCTCCACCATGTTGATAAGATGAAGGAAGAACTCCTGGGCATCTTGCTGCCGATTGGTGGAAAACTCAGGGTGGCCCTTGCCAATCAGGGCCTTGAACATCCGAGGGGCAATGCCATCTTGAACTTCCTAGGCAGAGCCAGGACAGAGACTCAGCTAGGGTTCAGAGGCTATCTCCCAGACCTCAGCTTCCCCATAATTCCAGAGCCTGAGAGGGATAAAACCCCAGACTCACCTTCTGTTCTGGTACCTGCTCCCCATCACCTGACTCTGGTGCTGGCTTGGAATACTCTCCCGAAAGAAGGCCATGACCCAGCTTGGCCCTAAGGTGATAACCAAGAAAACCATTTAGGTTCAGTCAACCAATAATCCTCCCAGCTATCTCAACTCAACCTCGTTTGCGGCCCTGCTTAGACCTTTTCAAAAATGTGAAAAACTGGCAGCTGGAGGTGTGACAGAGTACCTGCCTTGCAAGTTTGAAGCCCTGAGATCAAACTCCAATACTACCAAAGGAAAAAAAGTAAAAACCCCTTAGGTTGCACAGGAACCCACCTCAAGACAGACAGTGTCACCCAAGAGTTTGTAACTGTTCAGGGGCTCAACTGCTGCTTACCCCAAAGGCCATGGAGAAAGAAAACGTATGGGCTATACACAGGACTTGGCTACATACACCTGGGTGCTGAAGTCCTGGGTGGGATCTGTTGGAGCATTCTGGAAGATCTTCTCCAGCTTATCCACATACCTATGAGTCAAACAAAGGAAAACTGGAAAGACTCTATCTAGCTTGTGCACAGAAGAAAAGGGAAGAATGAAATTGTCTACTAATTGTGTATTCCAGACTGAGTAGCTACTGTCATTGAACCTTGAAGTTCATTTCTCTCTAGCAACCTGTCCATCCTCCCTACTCAACTAAGAATACAGTGTGCTCAGAGGCTCTTTTCTTTGACTTCTCACCAACAGGCCCGGGAAGAGAGAAGATAGCCCAAGATTAGGATAAACAGAATTCGTATTCTATTCCACAGAACTTGTCAACACATCGTAGGCTTTCACATTCTGTTTCCTAATTAGACAGTACACTCGTTGATGGTAAGAATTTGCCTTTCTTCTACCTTAATGTCTCAAGCCCTCCTTTGGCCCCCCAAGTGCTGCATGTCCATGTTAGGAGCTCATCTGATGTCACTGGCCTAAAATAAAGACGACCTGCTAACCTTTTGAGTCTGTCTGAGGGCCACAGAGAGCCCAGGGATTTGGCAATCTGCTCTATTAGTGTGTGTGGGCGTGTGCTGGGACTATGGTGGAGAAGTTCTGTAATGTACTCCCCTTACAGCATGCCAGCCATAGTGTATTAGGAACTATTCTAAGACTGAAATCAAACACATGGTGCTGAGGGCAGTAGAAGGAAATTGTGCCCAGAGGCTGGCAACCAGGAAAGCAGCTAGGGATCTTAGAGGTAGACAGTGAGTGACAGTAGCCTGGAGGAGAGACCACTCACTTCCTCTGGAAGTCAGGGATGCTGAAGAGCACCTGGACCACGGAGTTGAGGTAGCAGCTGTTACCCAGATTCCGGATGCCTGTGTACCCAGGCCCAAACAGGGGCTTCAGTGGCACACCCGACTCCTGGATCAGCTCCCATTCGCCAATCCGCTGGTTCATATCTATCTCCAACTCAGTCATTGTCTTGTCTGTCTGCATATGAAGGAATACTTCAGACCAGGAAAGAAACGCAGCCCTATAATTTTTACAATGATCTCTCACAAAGTCTAGGATGAAATCCAGCTGTAGCTCAGAATTTGTGGAATTGTAGGCACACTGAATATCATACAGTCCAAGTTCTGGACTGGAAATTATCCCAGAGGCCTGTTAGTCTTCAGGCTTGAATGAGGGAATAAAATGAGTAAGGTTCCCTCTACCCAAAATGTTTTTCCCATTCTGAAGTTATTCTTACTCTTTAGTTTGGATATTTTTTTTTTCAGTACTGGGAATTGAACCCAGCACCTTATGCATGCTAGGCAAGTGCTCTACCACTGAGCCAATCAGCCTACCACTTATTCTTTAGATTGTCACTCGAAGAACACTTCCTCAGGGAAATGTCCCTGGATCCCCTAGATAGGCCAGGAAGTACTGTAAACTACTGTAATGCAGTACCCTGCCTCTCCTTCATAGCACCCATCACAGTTTGTAATTATTCATTTATTTGTGTATGCCTGCCTTTCCTTCTAGAATATAAGCCCATGAAAGCAAGAACAACACCTGCCTTATTCACACAGTGACTAACACATAGTATTTACTGAATACTTAAATGGTTCTAGAAAGTTCTTCAAGAGAAGCCCGCATATCTTGGAGCCTGGGTTAATTGTGGAAGCTCTCTCCAAAAAACCCTACCTCAGCCTCAAGCAAGGAAAAATGATCACAAAGGCAAGCTTAAGTGGTAGAGCACCTGCCTAACAAGTGCAAGGCCCTAAATTCAAACACCAGTACCACAAAAAAAAAATCTAAAGCTGACAGGGATCTCACCTTCTGCATTTTCAACATGTCGATGCCAAAGTGGGACAGGTGCTCAGCCAGGCTTGGGTCCAGGACCATGTCATCCTCATCATATGAGTACACATCTAGAATAGGAGACGGACAGCATCATATGAGTACACATATAGAATAGGAGATGTGGCTCAGGACTGGTGGCCAGTCATTGCATCTCCTTCTCAAAGGGAATGTGGTGGGACAGAGGATAATCTGAATATCAATGAGGCCACAAGCTCTTCTAAGACTGGATGACACATAAGATGGGGTAAAACAGGGTGAGGGTTGGGATTAATTCTGATTCTACCCCTGCAGTATAAGGTAATAGGTGTAGGTTTGGAAAGATAGTCACTAGACAGATAATGATGGTCACCTCTAGAAGGGGACCAGGATTTGGGAAGAGATGGTACTGAAAATTTGATCTCATGTATAGTATTTTCATTTTTTATCAAGAGAATATACTCATGTATCGTACATGTCACATAAAACAAGAACTGAGACACATTAAGTGGGGGAGAGGAGTACCAGCTCCATCAGGTGTGATGGTGCCCAACTTGACGGCTAAAGGGTATCCTGTCTCCCTGTAGTGCTCCACAGCATGGTTGTTGCCCCCACTGCCATCAAAGTAGCGCCGGCCACAAAGGATGGAGCCATCTGTCAGGTTGAGCCATAGGTTCTCTCTCATGTCACACTTGGAGCACTTCCAGCCACTAACCCAAGGAAAAGAAAATTAGCTGAAATGTGGGTCAGGGGAATATGGCAGCAGTACTCAGAGGGGACTTTGCAAGTTCTCTGCCAGCCTAAGACCCTGTTCTTTCCTTTGAATGTCCCCTACTTTGTGCATTGCCCCAAAGTCTCCTTCCCTGTCCTGCTCCTGATCCTCTCTCCCACCAGATCCTTTAGAAGGGCAGTCTCTTTGCCCTTGCTCTGGAAACTGTGCTTAAAGATGGAGGGGCCAGGCCTCACCATGGAGGGATCCGAGCTGGGTTGTCCAACTGCTTGAGGTTGAATGCATGCTTAGACACCTGGCGAACTTCCCCATCCCAGGCCTGTACCTCCTGCTTGCGGGAGGCTGAGTCAGCAGAGAGTAGGGCCTCCACTGCACTGGTTACCTGGGGGAAGCAGAGGGTCAGACAGTACCCAACCCCTGTTCCATATGCTCCTCTATCCCTTGGTTTTTCAGCTTTGTCAGTACTGCCCAAAGCCATGACTACACTATTCTCTTGCCCTAAAATCTCTGGTAAGGTAGGGAAACATTCATACCCGATCTCTGACAATGTCAGGGAGCCCCCCCAACCCATCCCGAGCAATCTCCAAGTAATCTGGCAAAATGATAATCTTCACGTCCTCGTCATATTCAAACTTCTCCTCAGTAAGATCAAACCCGCCTTCAACACCTGTTAAGACAGGAAGAAAAGAGAGAGTAGGGCAACCATAATAGATCAGTGTCTCTCCTCCAGTACAGTACCTCACTTTGTCCCCTCCATAGCTCTAGGGCCACTGATCAGGCCCAGACTTTCCTAGTACCTCAGAGAACAGGAAAAAACCAGCCCAGAAAGAAGAGTAGCATTTCAGAGGTGCTCACCAATTGCCAGCCGAGTGGGCTTCTTACGAGGTGGGTCTCCAGTACCTGCAGTAGTGTCCTCTTCTTTCTGCAACGAACAGGAAGGGCAGAATCAGCAATAAGCACCAGGGACTGAACAAATGGGGAGGATGAAGAATGAAGTGGTTAATCACAGAATAGAATAAAGCTAATAAACATCTTTGTAGAGTTTTAGTAACATGAACAAAAATAGGTGAAAGGGAGAAACCGATCAGAATTGAACAGACTCAAAATGGGTACCTCTTGGATTGTGTCTGATGTACCAGCTCCTACCCTAGCCCTAGCCCCTGTGCCTACCAGGCGCCGAGTCCGCCGGAGGTGCAGATAGACACGCTGGCCAGTCTTACTGAAATGTCTCTCCACATACTGTTTCCCAAAGCCCAGGAATGTGTTCATGCAGATGTAGAGGCCACCTTCCGACTCCTGTAGGGCAGGAGGTAAGGGAAGAAACACAAGTAAGATGAAATCTGGCCAGGTGGGGAAATCAAGGACCTGATCAGAAACTGCTGGTTTCCAGAAGAATGGTTCTGTTCTCTAACACTGCATGGCCCTTGGCAACTTATTTAGCCTCTTAGAACCTGATCCATAGCTGAGATTCTCCCCATTTCCTCCTGTGACTTTAAAAACAACCTACAAGGACATCAGGGGGCTCTGAAATACCTGAGTCACCATTCCTCTTCCTCTTGCTTTTTCTTTGGGTGGGCTTTGGAGCCCACCAAACAATTAAAGAGGGTTCTCTTCATTCACCTCCTCTCTCTGGGAGCAAGAGACAGAAAGTAAATGGGGGATCAAATACTGTAGGCTTCCAGGTTCAGGGATTATACTAAGAGGAAAAAGGGTCTTTTCCAGGAAGTGGAAAGACCTACATGTCAGGCACTGATCCCAAACCTAGGACTCCTAAAACAAAATCTGTCTGATCTCCATAATTTCAAAACTTTCCAGACTGGAGGAGTAAAGATTTTAGCACTAAACATATACCTAACCCTGAGCTTGCCAACAGCCCACACTCTACTAGGTACCCAAACCCTGGTACACACTGAGTCCTATCCCTCCTCTCCTGCTGAAGCCTGGATCCAGGGAACAACATCTTGTTTGGGACTCACAGCTAAACCTGAACCCAGTCTGGCAAGGTTAGGAAGCTCAGCATTCTGTAGCCACCAGGAACTCCCTATCCTTTCTCCTCCTGTGACAAATAAATAAGATCCCCACTGAAGTCCCACCAATCTCCAACCTTAAAGCTATTCCCTTTTAGAACTATCTAGCAACACTTCCTGAGGCAGCTAGAACACATATAACCCAACAACAGGGAAAGGTAAGTGTCCACTTCAAATCTCAGCTGAGGAGGGAAAGAAGGGCTTCCCATAAGTGGAGCAAGTCTACCAGGACCTTTGTAACAGTGGCAGAGAGAGGAGGAGAGGGAACTGCAGACAATAAGAGTCTTGCCTAGATCCAAAACTTTGAGCAACAGATATCCTCTTCCTGGAATAAAAGCTTTAGTGGCCTTGAAAATTTCTCTGCTGTGATATTAAAAATAGGGCACTGTATAAGTTCTTGGTCCAATCGATTGCTCAGTTCCACTCCCTAGAATAGTGTGGATTGCAACGTACAAGAACAAATAGAGCATTTCTCACCAGGGAGGTCAGCTAAGCTTTCTTTTTCCCATGAACCCAATTTGAAGATAAGAAAATGTTGGAGTTGGTTAGCAAAGCAACTAGGCCACACTGGAGAACTACTGACTTAGACTGAAAAATGAAAAGTGTCAGAAAGTTACAAAACCCCTTTTTGGATTATTCCAAAGAGCAAATATAAGTGGAAAGAAGGACCCACTGACTTCCATCATCTGCTGGTAATTAAGAAAAGCCTTTTCCTCCTGGGAGGACGGTGGGAGCTGTGAAGTGATTAAACTCTTCAGCTAAAAATAAAAGATACTGGTTTCACCATGGATTGAAAACCCTGGAGCTCTGCTCCAAGTGGTCCTCTTTTACCTCTGCCAAAACCAGACCTCAGAGAAGTAGCACATTGTCAGGGGCTCAGATCAAAGCCCAGCAAAGCACAAATCACAGTGATGGTCCTGAACTGGGCCTCACACCATGCTGCTATACTCAGCACTGGTGATGCATTAATGAAGACTTTCCACTCTGACTTGCAGTTTTCAGGCTATGAGCTGGTCTGGCTGAACACCCTGGGCAGGGCCCAACAGCACTTTGGGGGGCGGGGGAGGCGGATCCCAACCAAGCGGTTGCCCTCTCAGTTCGGGCCTGGAGACTTGTCTCCTGTTGAGGGTGCCACAGGAAGGCAGAACTGCAGAAAGGGAGGTATCGGGTGGAGCCTGCAAAACGTGAAGCACGGAGTGGGTGGCGGCTTTGTCTAACTAGGCAAGAGTGGGAGCGGGATGAGAAAGGGGCCTTAGCATCCTCCAAGAAAAGAAGCCATCTCTCTAGGAATACTTTAAAAGGGGTTCTCTCTTCAACCTGTGATGGACGGGGAGAAAAGCGGGGCGGCGGGGGGTCGGGGGGGCGCGGCCATGGTTCACTTCAAAGGAGAAACGACTAGAGCTTTCCTTTTCTTTTTCATCCTCTCCCTACCACCAATGACCCACCTCCCGCCCCCTGTCCATATTAACCATGGGTGGAGGCTATTTGACTCGGTCGTTCTCGGAACCGGCCTTCTTCACAGCCCACTTCCAGATTAACAGCTGCCTCGGAACTGCAGTCCCTATCCTCCCAACCCCAATCATAAACCCACAACAGTGGGGAGTCGCCCCCATTCCTCCCTCACGAGACTACAAAACCCGGAGAACCGTGCGCTACCGCAAGGCCACCTCCCAGGCTTTTGCAGGGGTCGGCTTGGGGGTTGTAGTCCACCTGTCGTGTTGCCACCCTAGCTTAGAACGGCGACAAGGGCAGTGGGCGACTACAATGCCCACAGTGCTCCACGAGACTGGGAGCGGGCGAGGCGAGCGCAGCGGCTTCCGGGGACGGTAGTCACTGCACAGCTCCCAGCTAATGAAAAGCAATGGCGGAGAGAAGCGTGGAAGACTACAAGTCCCAGGGTGCATCACAAGGAGGCGGTAGCCCAAGCCTTGCAGGCCCCGGCAGAATGACCAGGGAGATGGAAGGAAGTCGTGGTCGCCGCAGGCGTGGGGATTGGGCTTACCGGCGTGTCGAAAGAGAAAGCGCACTCGTCTTTGTGGACCCGGTCTCCAGCCTTGGGGACCCGGATCGTCGGTAACACTGACAGCAGCGCCTCCTCACTCAGCTCCGCCATGACACCGGCAGCAGCTCCACCACACACAGCGGCTACCACCGTCCCAGTCCCCCACCCCTGCTCTCCCGTCCAATGAGCGCTATTCGTTAAGTGCATGCGCCAAAGGCAAGACGCGCGAGAACGACAGTTGGACACAGCCTGCCTGCTGGCGTTCCGCCCCCTGCCCTACTCTCCGCTAACGCCAATGAAAAGCGGTCCTGGTGCAATTGATGGTCGAAAGGACCAATCCCGGTCTTCCAGGGCAGGAGCGCATGTAGAGTAGCCAGGTGGGCTCGGAGTTGCGGCTGCTGGGACTCAGGGACCAGGGGGAGTCCCTTCGCGTGAAGGGCGGAAACTGACGGCTGTTTTGGCCTCTCGATTCCCGAAACTTTACTTTGGATTCGCCAAATTGGGAAGTAAAAGGGCGGTTGTCTTCTTAGTATTTGAATAGGGGCTACCCACTGAGGCGGAGTTTGAGCGGATTATATGAATGATTGATTACTCCGTCAACCAATAAAAATTACAGTCTCTCGCTTTAGGAAACCATGATAACTTCGTCTCCCGCCGGAATTGTGCATAATAGCGTAATAATCCATAATTTTGTTTAGTAAAATCGTTTGTTTGACATTACGTCTCAAAAGCGAAAAATAGCATTCCCCGAACTCACGCGGACAGCTTACAGGCAGACACTGAACACAAGTTCCCCACCCCTCCAGGGGACGTCACGCCTAGGCAAGCCAAGTCTCAGTTCATTGGTCCCACAATCCTCATGATAGACATCCTTCCAGTCCAATGGCTTCCTGCTCTGGAGGCGGGGCTCATCAAACAGGCCTATAGAAGTCTATGTCGGATCAGCCAATAGGGTCAGAGTAGGGGCGTGGCGGGAAGTTTGAAACATAGCTTTGGGAGTTGAACCTCGAGCTGGTGTGTTATCAGAAGCGGAGCTGGAGCTAGGTAAGCAATTTTAATAAGTTAGTAAATAAGTTAAAGGGTCCGGCAGGTCCTGAATGAGCCATTTGGAAAGCCGCAGAAGTGTCTGGGCCAGCGATCAAGAGGTTCCTCAGCTGGAAAGGGAAGATCTGGGGTGAGAGGTCGGACACGGTCTCGCTAAGAGCTGAGACTTGAGTCACTTCTCACAGGCATCCCAACCTCTACACGGGCCGGGCCCTGTCCCTGCCTCCAACCCTAGTGGAGATGGGCTCAGCCAAGAGTCTCCCAGTCACTCCAGCGCGGCCTCCGCCACACAACAAGCATCTGGCTCGAGTAGCGGACCCTCGTTCACCTAGTGCAGGCATCCAGCGCACTCCCATCCAGGTACTCTGGGCCGGGGTGGGGAAGTCAGGGAAACCAAGTTCTTGGTCCTCTGCCTACCTTGATTCTGAGAGAGCACTGAGGTTCACCCCTCTGAAGCCTTATTTTCTGCCTTTTTTGGGGGGAGTGGAAGGAGTGGGTGGTACTGGGGTTTGAACTCAGGTATTCACGCATGGAATGCAGGAATGTTACCACTTGAGCCACACACCTCCAGTCCATTTTGCTTTTTTCTTTTTTTCCAGTACTGGAGTTTGAACTCAAGGCCTACACCTTGAGCCACTCCAGCAGCCTTTTTTTGTGAAGGGTTTTTTGAGATAGGGTCTCAGTGAACTATTATCCCCAGCTGGCTTCCAACAGCAATCTTCCTGATCTCTGCCTCCTGAGCAGTTAGGATTACAGGCATAAGCCACCGGCACCTGGCTTGCTCTGGTTATTTTTATTTTTATCTAGCTATCTATTTATTTGGAGGTGGGAGTCTTGTAAATTATTTGCCTGGCCTGACCTCAAACTGCGATCCTCCAAGTCTCCGCCTCCCAATTTTCTGCCTTAATCTGCATGTGGTAGGCTGAATGTCTCTGAAGGTTTTAGCAATTTCTTCCTGGAATGTGGGCAGGAGAGAAGAATTGGGCCCCCAGACTTGTTCTAGCTTGTGGTCCTGACAGGTGGAGAGCTCTCCACAGCCAGGTCTACCAGCAGGAGAGCAGCTGGATGGTCCTAAGCAGGCTCAGGACTCAGATCCTCGCTCTCCTACTCTTGGCATTGCTCGGACACCTATGAAGATCAGCTGTGTAGGTAAGTATAGGGCTCAGGGAATGTTGATGTGGCTGCCACCTACTATTCTTGAGTGGAATCAGTGAAGCCATCCTCTCAGTCCTGCATGCACTCAAGCTTCCAGGTAGGCAAACATACCACTGAGATACATTCCTAGCTCCCATCTCACTTGGCTCAATATTTTGTTCCTTCTCATCTTGAGTTCACTCTTCCCACTCTTTCACCCACCTGAGCACGAGTCCTAAGGCTCCTTTATCTTTTCCTCCTTGCTGAATGGTTTGTATCAGGAGGTCACTGCTCATTTCGCTTCTTTCCTCTAGACCCTCAGAGTCCACTGATGAAAGAGCTGGGTGAAGTATTTGAGACAGAAGCCTCCACACTGAATCTTCCCTCAGAGCCTGTTCTCCTGGAAGCACCTTTATCTTCTAAACTGGACTTGCCTCTAGATACTCCATTATCCCTTGAGGACCAGATGTCTCCTTGGAACCAGAATGAACTCCTCTCCAAACAAGTGTTTTCCAAGGAGGAAGCAAAACAGCCCACAGAAAACCTTTTGTCCAGCCAGAGCTCAGACAAGCCCTCCAGGGACTCTGAGACTCCCCAGTCTTCAGGTACAAAATATAAGGGCAAGATGTAAGGAAGAAAAACTAGGAGAACGTCCTGGGACAATGTGCATAGATAATGTGAGAATAATAAACTGTAAGGCCTCAATTTTGAGTCCTTGCTGTAACACCTTCCCTATCCTAGGTTCTAAGCGCAACAGACGGAAACCAAACAGCAAGGTACTAGGGAGATCCCCTCTCACTATCCTGCAGGATGACAACTCCCCTGGGACCCTGACATCACGACAGGTAAAGGGAGAGAGGATGAAAATTATTGCTATATAGCCAACCTATCCTTAGAGGAGGCCCTTTTACTTAGTTCTTCCCTCTCTGAGCAACACTCCTCAACTCATATACTGCCTTTTGCAGGGTAAGTGGCCTTCTCCTCTAAGTGAAAATGTTAGAGAACTGAAGGAAGGAGCCATTCTTGGAACTGGACGACTTCTGAAAACTGGAGGACGAGGATGGGAGCAAAGCCAGGATCATGACAAGGAAAATCAGCATTTTGCTTTGGTAGAGAGCTAGACCCTGAGTGGCACTTAGAGCCTGGTGATATTCTGTGTCTTCACCCTTTCTTTCCCAGGTAGACTGAGGAACAGCTTGTTTTCTTTGATTTCTCCTAGACTACCAACTCTGGGACTTAGAGTTTTATTAGGCTTTCTTTGTGTCTTGTATATTTCTTATATATTAAAGGAAGTGATTTTATTTTTTACTTATTTATTTTTTTGGCGGTACTGGGGTTTGAACTCAGGTCCTAGCGTTTGCTAGGTAGGTGCATTACCACTTGAGCTATGTCCCTAGCCCTATAGGAAGTGATTTTTAAATAATGCTTTAAAAAGTGAGACCTAAAGCTGCACTAGATGTCAGGAGCAGCCTGGAGGGCTTGTGTCCCCTGGTGTCTCCCCACTGATACTCTCAGCCCCTTGTGCATACCTCCCTTAAATTGTGGTGTCCCCAGGGCTCTGTCCTTGGCCCTTCTCCCTTGTCCTCCCTAAATGTTTAGTTCTAGGACTTTAGCTATCCTTTATCTATATTCTGGTACCTTCCAGGTCTCTCTCTTAACCCTGACCATTATCCAGTTGCCCCACAAACACTGTGAAGTCAGTTTGTCTAAAACTGAATTTATGATTTTCCCTTAAAACGTATTCCTCACCCCCCCGTATTTCCTGTCCTTGTGAATAACATCATCTACCCAGCTGCCCAAACTTAAACCTTGGCTATTGCATTGAATCCTTCCCTCTCGATATCCTATAACTTAACTTGGCAGTTGGTTACTAAATCCAATCCTGGTGCCTCTTTTTTTTTTTTTTTTTTGCGGTATTGGGGTTTGAACTCAGGGCCTACACCTTGAGCCACTCTACCAGTCCTTTTTTTGTGATGGGTTTTTTTGAGATAGGGTCTCATGAACTATATGCCCAGGGCTGGCTTCAAACCGTGATCCTCCTAATCTCTGCCTCCTGAGTAGGTAGGATTACAGGAGTGAGCCACCAGTGCCCAGCTCTGTCTTTAATCTCTTCCCAGTCCTTTTCCCCTTGTCCTGTCACTTGTGTGTGTGTGGGGGAGGGGGCAGATAAAAGCCAGGGCACATGTTAGGCAAGTGCTATACCACTGAACCATACCCCTGGTCCCTGTCCTATCACTATCTAGTTTCTTGCCACCTGCTTCCTAGTCTGTAGCCTGGCCTCCTTTTACTCTCACACATGAGCATATACACATGAGCTATGGCAGGCTGTAGGTGCTATACACCTTCTCCCTCCCTACCACCTGCTGAATTCACTTCTCCTGACCCAGTTCAGCTCAGCCTCCCCCATAAGGCTTGGTCTTCTGTCTTCACCCTTCTCCCTGCCCACAATTCACCCAGTACCCACCCTTTTATCACAGCATTTCTAAAACATTGTGATCCAGGTCTTTTGGAAACAGAAGGGAAGTGGGAGCCAATTATCACAGAGATACCAGGTTGCTATACTTTATTGTAGGTACTTTTAGAGAAAAAAAAAATGTAGAAAAAGAAAGCATGAAGGAAAAGGGGGGCCAGAAGCCTAATGGTGACAGCCATAGTCAAGAGGCTGAGCACCCTGGCTAGGTGTAGACAAAAGGTGGTGACTCTAGGGGAAGATTCCTAGGGGTTGGGGCTTCAGCCTGGAAGGCTGCTGGGCCTGCAAAGTACTGGTAGGGAGGGGGTGTTGGTTGTCTTTGCTGATTAGGGGAGACACCAAAAGGACTATGGGAAAGGGAGGCCATGGGAGGAGATGGGGTAGTTGTTTGCTCCCTGTGTCCCTGATGCTGCCTCCCAAAGGCACCCTCCCATTTTCCCCACTGTCCTCGAAGGAGGAAGCTTAGTGGGAGTGGCCCCTGGGATACAGAAGAGAACCTAAGGAAGAAGGAGTACAAGGGGGCAGTTGAGTTTCTTCCTGGCCTTCCACCTTTCTCCCTCCAGCCTCCTCAGTTCCAGATTTTGAGGAAGCTGTCCCAGGAGCCAGTGGCCACAGCCATCCCATCAGCTGTGACCCCCAGGCAGCTGACCCTGTTGTCATGGCCAGAGAGGATGCCTGGGGAAGAGGGAAAGGAATTAGCCCATCTCCCTGTGCCCATTTGGAAAGTAGTGGGGGGAGTGGGAGAGGGCAAGTGGAGCACAATAACACTAGATTAGATAGGAACCCTAGATTGGAGAGATGGGACTCAGCCTCTGGAGGAAATTGGGGGTCTGAAAGATTAGTCCTAGAGAAGGGATTTCTCTTGAGGCCAATTTTTTTGTCCAGAACTTGGGTTGGGAGTGGGGCAACAGCAGACAGGGAAAATTTGTGTCTGCTGTGAGAAAAGCTGGGGTGTGTGTGTGTGTGAATATGATCAAAGTACTTTATATATATGTATGAAAATAGAATAATGAAACCTGCTTAAGTTGTTTTAAAGGGAGTGAGAAGGGATCAGAAAGAATAATAGAGGAGATGGAACTTGACCAAAGTACATTATATGTATGTATGAGAATAGTACAATTGTACAATTAAAATATGATAATTTTTTAAAAAGACAAAAAAGAAAAGCCAGGGTCACCTTTGCCAGCACAGGGAAACAGGGAAGGGAAAACCCTTTCATCCAAGGCCTTTGTTTTCCAGATGAGGAAAGCCAGGTCCAGAGAAGTGGCTTATGCAAGGGAACTTAGAAAGTAATCCAACCAAATTAGGCCTGCCTCTGGAGCCTGTGCTTTCCTTCAGTACTGGCCTTCTCCAAGAGAAACCAAACTGTGCTTCAACTCCAAACCAGGCTGGGTCCTAAACAAGACCCTAAGCTAGGGCCAGGACCCTCAGGGCCCTCCAGCTGTCCCTGGTTCTTAGGTGCACAGCTCCCTGAGGCTGCCCCTTCTGTACCTGGCCCTGAAACCTCAAGCACTCAGAGTAGACTGGACATTCGAGGTCCACAGGTCTGGGGATGACTGTGTAGAAACCACGACATTGGACGGAGAAGTGATGTTTAAAGCAACTTTTGTCTGTGGAACATGATCCTAGGTTAGGAAAAAAGAGGTGCTATTTCTAGGGGGATAGAGTTACCAAGTAACTAAAAAGGTTCCCATACAGGAAGCTGGTAGGAGGGGCATCTGGAGAGGGGGAGGAAGGGGAGACTGAGGCAGATTCTTATCCACTTACCCACACGCTCACACTTCATGGAGTCCCAGACATTGCAGTTAAAGTCATCGTAGCCTGCAAAGAGCAGGCGGCCGCTGAGCGAGAAGGCCACAGACGTGATGCCACAGATGATGCTCTCATGGGAGTAGGCAGTTAGCTCCTGGTCTGCCCGCAGGTCAAACAGGCGACAGGAGGCATCATCTGAGCCTGTGCAGATGGCCTCCCCATTGGGGAAGAACTGAGGGTACAGGTAGGAAGGGGTTGGGGCTTAGACCTGAGGCAGCCCTGCCCTACAGTCTGCTCTCAGGCACCCTCCTGTGGCTCAGGACAAGCTGCTTCTCTCAGCCTCTCTGCCTGGCCCTTCCCTGGCCTGCAGTGAGAGGCAGCCAGCCCTGGTTATCTGTTTACCACTGACATTTATCACAGCTGGCTTCGTGCCTAAGGATCTCCTACGCCCCTCACTCCAAGCACTGCAAGTAGGTATCATCGCCATGTTGCAGGCAAGAGCACCAAGCCTCTCCCAAGAAATTGCCCCAGTCTCCTATGACTGTACAAGTGGGCTGGGGTCCCACTGCATAACCTGAAACTCATCATGAGGAATAGCAGATACACTCAGTTGGAGGGACACTATAGAAAACTGGTGTATAATCTCCAAAAATGTCAATGTCAGCCAGGTGCAGGTGGCTCACGCCTGTAATCCTAGCTACTTGGGAGGCAGAGATCCGGATGATCACGGTTTAAAGCCAGCCAGGGCAAACAGTTCATGAGACCCTATCTTGAAAAAACCCATCACAAAAACAGGGCTGGTAGAGTGGCTCAAGTGGTAGAGCACTTGTTTAGCAAGTGTGAGGCCCTGAGTTCAAAACCCAATATTGCAAAAGAAAAAAGTCAATGTCATGGAAGAGAGAAAAGTAGAAAAATGGTTCCACAGCTAGGCATGGTGATGTGTGCCTATAACCCTAGCACTTGAGAGAAATCATACTGTGGGGAGCTGGAGGAGTGGCTCAAGGGGAAGAGCGCCTGCCTAGCAAGCATGAGGTCCTCAGTTCAAGCCCCCATACCACCAAGAAGAAAAAAATATCATACTGTAGCTATGTTACAGAAGGGCCTTTTTGTTATTGCTGTTTTTTTTTTTTTTTTTTCAGTACTGGGGTTTGAACTCAGGGCCTACACCTTGAACCACTCAACCAGCCCTTTTTTTTGATGTTTTTTTTTTTGAGCTAGGGTCTCACAAACTATTTGCCTGAGCTGGCTTTGAACCACGATCCTCCTAATCTCTGCCTCCCTGATAGCTAGGATTACAGGTGTGAGCCACCGGTGCCTGCAGGCACAAGTATTCAAGGGACAAAGATGCATAATATCTGAACCAACTCAAAAGACCTGAAAAGGGGCTGGAGGTGTAGCTCTGGCAGACCACTTACCTAGCACAAGGAAGGTCCTGGTTTGGATCCATAGCACCACAGGGGAAAAAAAGTGTGTGTGTATGTGTGTGTCCAAGAGAGCAAAATAAAACAAATGTGGCAAAACGTTAACAGTAAATTTAAAGGACATGGGACTTCTTTTTGTTAGTATTGCAGCTGTTCTGTGAGGTGAAATTATTTCTAACCAAATGTTAAAAAGAAAAGGCTTAGGGGAGTATAGGAGGGGGTGTGTTGTAGGATGTGAGGTAGTCACAGAGGGGGCACAGGGAGGGGTGCTCACACATATGGCGTTGATGTCCGACTCGTGGCCAGTGAAGGTCTGGCGGCAGGTCCCCTCCCGCACATCCCAGAGCTTGGCGCTAGCATCACAGGCCCCCGAAATGAAGAGTTTGTAGTCAGGAGACACAGCCAAGCTCATGCAGTCACCAGTGTGTCCCACAAACACCGTTTTCTGCTGCCCTGTCTCAATGTCCCACAAAGCACTGCCGGGAGGGAGAAAGGCTGTCACAGAGAAAGTCCACACATGTGGTTCAGGATGGCCTTCCAAGTCCCAGCACCTGCCGTATTCAGCCCTTACCACGTGGTGTCCCCCGAGCTGGTCACAATGTTGTTGTCGTCCAGGAAACGGCAGCAGGAAAGATAACCTGGAGGTGGTTAGGACAGTATCCTGCTGCAGAGCCACAACTCACCAGGGACCTAGACTTCCCTGAACCCCTCAGGATGGAAAGGGAGGGTCTCTCACCCACCTGTGTGAGCTGAGAGCTCCCGGCTGACCTTGACATTGCCCTCACGGGATTTGAGGCTATAGATGGAACACATATTGTCCAGACCCCCACATGCCACAAAGTTCCCTGATGGGGCATAGGCACAGGTCATGACCCAGGAGGAGCGCAGCGGGATGGCGTGTACCTACAGAGAGGGTAGATTTGGGGCAAGCAGAGCCTGAGCTGAGCTTCCAGGTGGGCAGGGCCAGAGCAGGGGGTAGGTATAGTAACCCCAGCAAGGATGTGGTTGTAGGAGATCAGAAGACAGAGCTGGTACCTTGTTGGTGGTGTAAGTATCCCACACGATCAGCTTTCCGTCTTGTGAGGCACTTACCAGCAGCCTGGGGAAAGGGCACCCCATGTCATCCACACCTCTCTTCCTTGCCTTCCCGTCCTCCTCCCCTCTGGTCCCTTCTCAAGCCTCACTTAGAGTCAGTGGCCCAGTGCATGGCATAGATTTTGGCCAGGTGACCCCTTAATGTCCGTCGTGTCCGCATCTGGACTCGTCCCACCACCTCTAGGCCAGACACCAGCTGCAGGGAAAGGGGTATTAGACGTCAGGCGTCTGCCACGGTCACTGATCTGTTCAAGTTCCTGCTGGTCACCAGCCTCTAGGGCAGGCCCCCCCAAACCGGAGTGACTTAGACTCCTACAGAATGCAGACTCTTCATGGCTAGTGGCATGTTAAATGGGATAGCTAAGTGGTTAGCAATCTTCTCCAGATGGGGGAAGGGGGAGTTTCTTTGGGGTAAATACTCCCACCTTTATCAATTTCAAGCAACCCCTGTGAGGTCACTGAACAAGAACTTGGGATGAGACCCACACAGTTGACCTTCCCAAGTGGGTGGAAGCCTGCTTTCACACATCACTGCGGCATGACCAACTGTCACCATGACCTTGAACTGCACCTGCTGAATTTTGTCCTACACCCCCTCCTTTTTTTTTTTGGCAGTACTAGGGATTGAACTCAGAGCCTCCCACTTGCAGGCTAGTGCTCTATCACTTGAGTCACTCTCCCAGTCTCGTCTATGCCCCTGGAATGCCAGCCAGCCTTGGGCTGGTGCTCCAGAAACCACAGACTTGATTTGCTATTACTTGCTTTGTTATCTTGGGAAATTACAGAACCTCTCTCTGATCCCGTTTCCTCAAGATGTAAAATTATATCAAGTTAGGTACTTAAGCAACTTAGCCCAGTACCTGGCCCATGATGTTTACTATTACTACAAACATAAGATCCTGTCGACTCTAAGAAACGCCAGTATTTTATGTGTCACCAAGAAAGAAAAAGTACTCCCAATCATAATCGTAAGTCATCACTTATGTTGGATGCACCTTGAGGTCAGAGATATTTAAACATGAAGAAATGTGCACCTTAGAATTGATGAAATACAATCTTAGAAAACTAAAATCTAGAAGGGTGTCATGATTTGCAAAGTCCTCTCACTACCTCTGTGCTCCAGGAGCAATTGTCGTCTCTCTTGTTTAATGGAACAGCGTCAGCATCCCAGCATTCAATACGGTGCCTGGCCCAGAGCAGCTCTCACTAAGTGTTTGTTGAATGAATTCATGAATGTCTTTCCTCACTCTAAGCACACACTGTACTAAAGCATAGGCACCAGTGTGTTGCTGGTCAGAGAGTTCAAGTCCCCTCCCCTCACACGCTGCCTCAGGGAAACAGGTCTCACCTCTGCCAAAGTGGTATCAGCACAGGCTTTCCTGGCATCCTGTGGGGAAAGCAGACATCAGAGAGACCATGGGCAGGGTGGGGGTCGTGGGCCTCAGAGGCTGGTGGGCATGATGCTTTGGGGGTTGGGGAAAGGTTTGAAATGTGAGATCCAGATTCGGAAAATCTCTGGTTACTTATAGGTTACAGGTCTCATGCAAACATGAATCCAGCCCCTTCCCCTCAGGCCACATTCCCTTATGTCCTCAGTTCTGTTTTCTGGGGTCCCCAGTGGGAAGGTTCTGGAGTTACTGCAATCTGCTTCTTGAGCTGCTCCGCTTCCTGCCTCAATTGCTCCATCTCCCCCATGGTGGACAGGTCAAGGGGTAGCTCTGGTTCCTGCTGGAAACATGGGATAGGTATTGGGGAATCCTCCCAGGCCATGTTTCTGTTATTCACACTCTACCCCACTCCTGAGGGCTGGCACCTACTCTGGAAATGATGGGGGGCACCTGGACTCCTCCCCAACTAGGCCCTCCTGATCGGGTACATCCAGTCCAGTCCTGCCTGAGCCCTCCCTGCAGCCCTCAACCCCAGGGCAGAGCCGGGGCCAGCTCCCTCTTACTTGGGCTCTGGCTGGACCTCTCCCAGGTTTTCAGGCGCCTCTTCACTCCCTCAGCTGCGACTCCTGCCCGTCACCTGCCCCGCTTTGTTGCCAGAGGAGCTGGCCTGGCCTGGCCCCGACTGGGATGGGGGGGGCACTGACAGGGAAGGGTAAGGCCAGCGATGACAACGTCAGGCAAATGAAATCAGCTGGCAGAGGTGGGGGGAGAGGACAGGGAGGGAGGGAGGCGGTTTCCAGAGACTTGGGCCTAGCCTGGAGGAAAAGTAGGAGCAGAGATTGGGCTAGTGATTGGAGCAGCCCCTCACAAACAGCCCTGAGCAGGGGGAATACAGGGGTGCCTCCCTGGTCAGTCTCTGCAGGCAGAGATAAGAGCATCAGGCCCCACGGATCAGAGCAAAGCTGTGAGGATTAAGGGTTGGGGTTTGGGAGGGGAGCAGAGCAACAGAAGCAGTCACAGCCCTGATGGCCCCCTGGGCCCTGGTCCCCACCTGTGGTCATGATCTTGGCAGTCAGAGCCTGCTCAGTAACCAGGATAGAAGCCAGGACATAAGGGTGATAGATGGCCCTATTGTCAATGCCCTAAACTGTGTTCCCTGGCTGAGGGTGGTGGGGGAAAAGGGCTGTGAATCTGGGAGGGTACAGACAGGAGCTGAGATTAGAAGGGACTGATCTGGATAATCCTTCTTCTCAACAAACCCTAACCAGCTGCCTCTGGGCCTGATCCTGCATGGGGGAGAGAGGTAGAGGGGATCCAGAGAGGCTGGACAGACCTGCCCCTGCTTTGGGCAGAGAAAGGATGACAAAGGAAAGGTGACCCCAGCCCTAGCTTCCAGGCTGGGGTCAGGCCCCCTGCTTGATCCCATAACACAGGAGGCTCTGCTGGGGCTGTGAAAGCAGGAGCCAGAAGGGTCAGGCTGGCCCTCTCAGGCAAGCTCAGGGAGGGAAGGCAGAGCTTAAGAGTTGAGGCCCAAGGAGCAGCTGTGGGGGTGGGGGTCTTGGTTGATTTGCATGAGGGAGCAGGTGGCTGAGATTTCCCTGACAAATCACAGGTTCTCACGGCCCCACCTCTGGGAGGCCCAAAGACACCAGTCTCCTCCCAGGCTGGCCACAGTACCCCCATCTCCAGCCACCACAGAAACTGTGATACACCGCTGGGTCCTGGCTGAGAGTCTCTACATTCTTTATTGCACAGGCTGGGTGAGAGGATGAGGTTCTCTCTCCTTTATTCCCACTGAAGCAGTCAGCCTCCCACCCTTGCCATTTCCTTTCATAGAGGCATGGTGTCCTCTGCCTGCCGTAAGGCTACGGGTCCGTGAGCTGGGGCCAGCCCAGTGAGCTCTAAGCTACATCTGTGCAGTGTTCTCTGAGTCCAGGCTCAATGGCCCTTGTCCTTTGTCCCCAAGATGGTGGTGTGCAGGGACAGAGAGCTTGCTGTTGTGTTCCTGATGTCACATCGGAGGTTCTTGTGAGTCGCTTCACAAGTCAAGTGGCCACATCCCCAAGGAGCTGGTTCAGCCACTCACAGCTCCTCTCTGACCCGAGGTGGCTTCCCAGCTTTGTCTTGGACTCGCTGAAACTTGCGGCTGGGGGGTTCTGGGGAAGGGTCCCTGCTAGGCATCTCCCCTCCTTCTTCCTCCTCGTCCTCCTCTTCCTCCTCTTCTGGCTCCTTCAGCAGCTCTTTGGCTTCTGTCCATTCCTGGGGGTGGAGAAGACTCTGGCCCTATCCCCTACAACCACCTTCCCTGGGCTGTCTCAGCTTCACCTCACCCACCAGTGAGTTTCCTCAGTGGCCACCTGCCCACCCCTGCTCCAATTTACCTGCTCCTTGTGCTCAGGTGCCCACGTGTGCCACAGTGCCAGGGCACAGCGCCGGCCCCGTGTCACAGCCCACACACCGTGAGGATTCTCCCCACCAGAGCTGAAGGCCACGAGGCGTCCACAGCGAGGACGGACCTGAGCCTGGGGAAAAGGGCAGGTTCAGTTCCCAGCATGGCCTCTCTCAAAGAACTTGACCCTCACTGTCCTGAGCAGGATGGGGCAGGGAGCAGTGAAGGCGAGCATTCTTGCCCATTAATTTCCACTCCTTAATTAAGGCACTGACTTGGGGCAAAGGAGAACTTAATCTCAACTTTGGGAGCAAAGGTGCCAGACTGAGGCTAGAGCCAAACGGGGCAGGGGTCTCCTGTTGGTTCTCTGTCCTGCTGCCCTGATCTTTTTTGTCTAACCCCTTGAGCCGGGGTATGAAGCAATCTGAAGGAACAAGAGCAGTACCAGGCTCTGCGTGGAAGGGCACAGGCCCTTGAGGCATTTCCACCCCATGAAAGGCCTGGATTACAAGTGGCTACGAAGGAAGGAGGTGATTGGGTAAAAATTAAAAATCACTGCCCCTCTCTGCTTACTCATTTGGTAGGCCCTGGTGTCTACCTAGAAATTTCCATGATCCAAGAATAAGGGGGTAAAATACCCAACATTTTATTAATTGCTTATTAATTCTAGACATTGGCTCATTCTTTTAGGTATATTATGTAAATTAATTTTGTAGGATTTTTTTTGGTGGTATTGGGGCTTGAACTCAGGGCCTCATGCTTGCTAGGCAAGCATGCTACCACTTGAGGCACATCCCCACCCTACCCCCGTTTTTGAGATAGCTTCCCTGTGTTGTCCAGGCAGCCTCCAACACCTGGGCTCCAGCAGTCCTTCCTGCCTCAGACTCCTGAGTAGCTCTGACTACAGGATCCACCACACACCTAGCTGTGTTCACTCTCCTTTAGGAAGTGAGGCAAACCCTGAAGGCAGGATCTAGTGTGGGGAGTGGTCATTTAAAGATTTAAGTCGGGGAAGCTCAATCTACCCCAGAGGGAAGAACCCTGAAGACAGCCCAGGGATCATGAAGGCTGAGAGGCGGGAAGAAAAGGGTTAAGGTGGCCCTAGCCATTTCCCTGCATTTGCCTCTGAGAAGCTTCTGTTTTGAATCTTGACTCCCCAGCTGGGCCCTCTGTCACCCCCACATACACACCTACCGTGACAGTGAGGGCATTTGGTTGCGTGAAGAACAAATCCCCACCCTGAAAGTCATCATTGAGGTAGAGGAGGCCACTGTGGAGGGAAGAGGACAGGAGGCAATGAGACCCCACCCAGGTCTTTGTGGTCTTTGTATGTCTGCCTGCCTGTCCCTGGAACAGCCACCCACCTATAGTCTCGATAGGTGTAGGCTGGGGGCTCCCGCCAGCACTCCCCAGTGTCAGGTTCCAGGATGCAGTTGTCTGCATGCACAGGATGACTCAGGTCCATGCGCTGCTCTTGCTCTCCTAGTACACAAAGAGGTCTGGTGAATGCCTCTGTGCCTTGCCCACACATCCCCGCAGTCCCTGGGATCACAGTTGGCAAGAGAAGCCTGGGGTCACACCTGGGCAGGGCAGTCACGGTCTTTTCACGTCAAGACCAAATCTCACACAGGTTGGGGGTTCTGAGATTGAGGAGGTGCAAGCAGGGGTCCCTGGTGGTTACCTTCTATGGCACTACGGCACACCAGGTGGGTGAAGGAAAGATGCAGGGGCCGCTCCGGAGAGAAGTAGGCCTGGGTCAAGGTCCGCACTCGCTCGCTCACCTCCAGGAGCAGCTTAGCACCCTGGCTGCCCACAGTCCCAGCCCTGGCCAGCTGAGGCAGGAAAGGAAAAAGACAATGGAAGGTGGTCCCAGCCCCAGGAACCTGTCTCCACTGCTGTCTCCACTGCTCCACCTCAATCCCCAGGTGTGGAGTCTCAGCAATCTAGCTCTGCCCATCAGCTATGTCCCTCAGTCTGTGACAACACCCAAGGCCCCAGGTCTCAGAACACCAAGGACTCTGGTAATATCAGTCCCAGGAGAACTCCTCCACAGAAGTCCTGGCCCGGTGCCCAGCCTCCATCCACCCTCTTCTCCAGCTCTGATCATCAGACCAAGCCACAAGGGCCTTCTCTCACCTGCGCAGCCTTGAGTACTGTGAGCCCTTCAAAGTGTTCATGGGGGGTGTGAGGGGAGCGGCGACCACGATAGCCAGACCTGGCTCCAGCCCCAGCTGCATCCTAAACAGAGAGAGAGCGTTCACAGTGCAGTCACCTAGCCCACCTCACTGCCCACGGGACTATGTGACCCCCCCTCCAGCCTTCGAAGGTGATTCCCCTTCCTGAGCTGCGGCCCTTTTCCAGAGAAAGTCCTGGTTGTCTGGACTATCACTCTCTGGGACAGGTCTGGTACCCCCTTAACAAGGGGACTATGTGCACAGAGCTCTGTAGCTTCCTACAGCCAAGGAAGGGCCTCGGAGAGGGTAAGGACACCATGAGAGGGGAGGCAGAGCTGCAGACTTGGGGTGGGAAGGGCTTGATCACCAGACCCTGATAAGCTGGGAATGGAGGATTCCTTTTACAAACAGGACCCTAACAGAAGTCTACCAGTCAGGTGATGCACTGACCTCTTCCCACTTGACATTTCTTAGAGAACCTACAGACTCCATGATTCTGCACCTTGATGTTGGGTCCCCATCAAACAACCACCTACATCACAGCTCTCATCACCTGTAGGTGCATGCTACTGGATGCTTACAACTGGGATCACAACGTTTCTTGATGAATCTTGGTTTAAGTACTACTACCTAGTTTTTCCTAAATATAAATCTCACCTTGGAGAGATCACCTAGTCACTCAAACCATCTAACCTTTTACCCTCTTCTTATTATTATTGGCAGTACTGAGGTTTGAACTCAGGGCTTCACAATTGCTAGGCAGGTACTCTATCACCTGAGCCACTCCACCAGCCCTTTTTTGCATTGAAAATTTTTGAGATAGGATCTTGCAAACTATTTGCTTTGGCTGGCTTTGAACCCTGACCCTCCCAAGGGCTAGAATTGCAGGTGTGAGCCACTGGTGCCTGGCTGGGACTGGGGTTTGAATTCAGGGCCTCATGTTTGCTAGGCAGGTACTCTACTGCTTGAGCCATTCTGCCAGCCTCCCCGCCCCCCTCCGCTGTGTGTGTGTGTGTGTGTGTGTGTGTGTGTGTGTGTGTGTGTGCGTGGTTTGGGGAGTGAACCCATGCATGCTAAGCAAGTGCTGTTATCCCTGAGTCATACTCCCACCCTCCCATCCCCAAACTTTCTTCTTTTTTTTTTGGTAGTACTAATGTTGAACTCAGGCCTTGTGCTTGCTAGGCAAGCACTCTCCCACTTGAGCCATGGCCCCAGCCCTTTTTACTCTATTTACTCAGGTAGGGTCTCACACTTTTACCTAGCCTCAGCTCATGATCCTCCTACCTCTGCCTTCCACATAGCTAGGATTACAGATATGTACCACCATCACCACATCTGGGTTGTTGTTTAAGGTAGCGTCTTGCTAACTTTTTGCCCAGGCTAGCCTTGAACTGTGATCATCTATCAAATAACTGAGATTATAGCTATGAGCTACCACACCTGGCCTAAACCTTCTACTCTTTTATTCATCCATTCAGCACATTTGTACTAAGCACCTATGTGCCAGGCACTGTTCTAGGCATTGGAGACACAGATGTAAACAAGAAAAGGTCCCTGCTCTCATGAGTGTTATATTTGGAGAGAACCAAAAAATAAATAATAAACCACGTTAATTCAGATGATGTGTAGAAAATTAAAACAGGCTTACAATCTTGAGAATGCCCAGGCAAGGGTTAGGGAACAGCTAACTGAAGAGGTGACATCTAAATTGAAACCGAATACTGCAAAGGAGCCACCTGAATATCTAAAGGGGAAACATTCCAGGTGGAGGAAACAAGTGTGAAGGTCCTGAGGCCAGAATGAATTAAAGGTGAGCAAGGAACAGAAAGAAAGAAGGTTCAGTACTTGGGAGTTATCCTTGACTCCTTCCTCTCATCATTTTCCACACAGAATTAGTCCTTAACTTCTCTACTTTGATTTTCTAAGTATTTCTCATCTGCTCTCCTCTCTTCACTCCCTTGAAATGAGGGTCCTCCTAAGGCCTCATTGAGAACCTCCTGGTTTCTTCCCACTGCAGTCTATACTCAGCCACGAGAGGGCTCCACGGGTTCTACAGGATGCTGACTGTACTTGCAGGTGCTTCTTAAATCCTTCAGCAGGTGTCCACCAACTCCCAATAGAAGTCAAACTCCTCCATAGGATTCAGAAGGCCCTCTCCTCCCCCTGCACCACCTCCTGATAAACTACAGCCGAATGACAATAGCAACATCCAACACTGAGCACTTCCTACATTGTCCTAAGAGCTCTACCATGTGCTAACTCATTTAATGCTCATTAAAGGCATTATTACCAATACTGGCTTATAGGCGGGGAAACTAGGCTCAGAGGTGTTCAAATAAATTACCCAAAGTCACATAGGTAATAAATGTCGATCCTCACTTAACTCCTGTGTTCTACTGCAGTTCCCAGAATGCATCTTGTTCTTCCTTCTTCCTCTTTGACGTTCTTTCCCTTCTCTGCTTTGTTTGTTTGGTTGGTGAGATAGTTGCCTAGACCAGCCTCAGACTCCTGGTTTAAGCCATCTTCCTGCCTCAGCCTCCAGAATTGCTGAGACTACAGAGAGGGCCACCGTGCCCCTCTTCCTGGTCAAGACTTGTTTAAGAGGCTGGAGGTATGGTTAGTGGAAGAGCTCTTGCCTAGCATGTGTGAGGCCCCAGGTTCAATCCCCAGCATCACAAAAACAAAACTATACTGGTAAAGTCTAAGCTTGAACACCACCCCTCAAGTAAGGTTTCTATGACTTTGGACTTCAGCACTTCTATTTGAGTGAGGACACACTTGCTTATTAAACTTACCACCTGCTCTGATTATGTGTTTCCATGTTGGTTTCCCTTCTTTATACATGAAGCTGGTGGAGTGGGTCAAGTGGTAAGAGCACCTGCCTAGCAAGCATGAGGCCCTGATTTCAAACCTCAGTGTGGACAAAAAAAAAAAAAAAAAAAAAAAGGAACCATCTTTATACGTGAGCTCAAAGACAGCAAAGTCTGCATCTACTTCCCCCTGGAATTTAGTTTCTAGTATACATAGGTGCTCCCTAAGAGTTCGTGTTGGATGAGTACTAGCCTAGAATGACAGACTCAATCTGAGTGAGGGTCATTGAGGAGACACAGATGGAAAAAAGAAAACTGTACGTCAGCCAAGCCCTGAACTCTCAGCTAACGAAAGAACCCTTACCTGCACACCATCGATTTCTATGCCCTTGTGAGTTTTTTGTTGTTTGTTTGTTTGGTGGTGGTACTGGGGTTTGAACTCAGGATGGTGTAAGGTAGGTGCTCTACGGCTTGAGCCATGTCCCCAGCCCATTTTGGTTTGGTTATTTTGCTTTATGCGCAGGCTGGGACTGCCATTCTCCTATTTATGCTTCCTGGGTAGTTGGGATGATTGGTGTGTACTACTGAACCATCTCTTATCGGTTGAGATGGAGTCTCAAAGACTTTTTGCCTGGGCTGGCCTCAAACCTCAATCCTTCTGATCAGTCCTTCCATGTAGAGAAGCCTGCTTTGCAAGCAGGAAGCCCTGAGTTCCTAGCCCCACCAAAACAACCAAACAAAACAAAACAAGGTCCCTCTTTCAGTCTATTGAAAGTGTTTTTCTGGGCTGGTGGAATGGCTCAGGTAGTAGAGTGCCTGCCTAGCAAGCACAAGGCCTGAAGTTCAAACCCCAGTATTGTCAAAAAAAAAAAAAAAAAAAAGGAAGAATAAATTCTGCTATCACTTTCACTCCAACCCACCCCCCAAAAACAACAACTACAACAACAAAAAAGCAAAGAAATATCCACCCCATGTCAACTAAATTAAGAGCAAAAGGAACTTTTCTGCACTGACCCCAGGGGAAATTCAGAACAGGCAGAAGGGAGGAGGAGCAGGTGAAGAGAAGAAGCTGGAAGCCAGGCCTGAGGGTCCCTGAGTACCCAGCCGGACTAGGGGCCGTCCTACCTTGGCCAGCTGCAGCAGTACCCCGCACTCGGCCGGGGTGAGCAGCCCATCCAACACCGCTCGCTCCGACCCATTCAGTTGTGTGGCATCATGGGTCAGGGTCACTCCCTCCAAGAGGAGGACGTCTGCAGGGGAAGGGACAGGGAAGAGGTCACTGAGGACCTCCTGAGGGGCAGTCTCAGCAGTAACTGGCAGCCCCCAGGCCCTCCAGGCTCCTGCCTCATTCCCCCTCCCCCAGAACTCACCCTTCCAGTAGGTCAAGGACTTCAGCTGTGGAGGCTCGTGGTCCCAAGGCCTCGTCTCTTGATCCTCTCTCAGGTGTGAGAGACATCCTCAATTGATGCACAGGGCAACCCAGACCCAGACTCCCAGTACCCCTTCCCTCTCCTGTGCCCTAAGCCAGCCACCCCCATGTCAGGGCACCCCTTACCTGAGCTTTTCCCTCAGTGCCTCAGGAATGAAGCTTACTGGGGTCCAGGAATCCTGTGACAGTAAAGAAAAGCATCATCGCCCGCCAAGCTCATCCCCTGACTCCCTCATGTTTGACCACATTAAGGTCCTCCTGCTTCCAGAGAGGGAAAATGGAGGTACAGGAAGCCCTGCACCCAATGTCAAGGTTACTCACTGTAGTGTCTTGGGCACTAAACCAAACTCTGTAATAATAAACAACAGCTTACATAGCACTTACAGTTTGCCAGGTGCTATTCTTTTTTTTTTTTTTTTTTTTTCTTTTCTTTTTTGGTGCTGGGATCGAACCCAGGGCCTCACGCATGCTAGGCAAGCGCTGTACCACCGAGCTACATCCCAGCCCATGCCAGGTGCTATTCTAAGAGCTTTATACGTAGAAGTGAAATTTATCACTTAAAGTTCACAATAGTCATGAAACAGTGCTAATGTGCTCATTTTGCAGTTGAGGGTCCCGAGACACAGAGAGGTCAAGTAACATGGTCAAGATCACACAGCTGGTAAATGACTTATTTTTATCCAGCAGTTCTCAGTCAGGGTGTCCCTCCAGGGAACACTAGGCAATGTCTACAAACATTATTGACTGTCAGACTCAGGGTCTGTCTGTTCTGTGTGCATGGCTGAACATCCCACAACGCATAAGACGGCCTCCTTTCCCTTCTCCCACAAAGAGTTATCAGGTAAGTAATGATTTGTGTGTGTGCATGTGTACACTGGGAATGGAATCCAGGGCCTTGCACACACTGGGCAATTGCTCTACCACTGAGCTAAACCCCAGCTCCAAAAAGTCAATAGAAAACTGCTCCTTTGGGAAGGGTGCAGGGTCTCACAGCTGTAATCCTGGCTACTTGGTAGTTGAAGATTGGGAGGATCCAGGTTCCAAGACAGCCAGAGTAAAAAGTTAGTAAGATGTCATCTCAACAAAAAAAAAAAAAAAAAAAAAACGGCATGGTGGTGCATGCCTGTCATTCCAGCTACAAGAGAGGTATAGTGGTCCAGGCCCACCAGGCAAAAGATGCAAGACCCAAGAGGCCAGGCATGGTGGTTCACACACCTATAATCCCAGCACTTAGTAGGCAAAAGCAGGAGGATCACAAGTTCAAGGCCAGCTGGGCTACATAGTGAGAGTCTGGCTCAAAAATCAAAAACAGCTGGGTACCAGTGGCTCATGCCTGCAATCCCAGCTACTCAGCAGGCAGCAATTAGGAGGATCTCAGTTGGAAGCCAGCCCCAGGCAAACAGTTCTTGACACCCTATCTCAAAAAACCCATCACAAAAAAGGGCTGGTGGAGTGGCTCAAGCAGTAAAAGCATCTGCCCAGCAAGCGTGAGGTCCTGAGTTCAAACCCCATTGCTGTGGGAAAAAAAAAATCAAAAACAACCAAAAAAACCCCCACGAGACCCTACCTGAAAAATAGCTAAAGCAAAAAGGGCTGGGGTGAAGGGCTGGGGTGTGTGGCTCAAGTGGAACAGCACTTGCCTAGCAAGCATGAGACCCTAAATTCAAACTCAATTACGCCAACAGAAAAGAAAAGAAAAGAAAAGAAAAGAAAACTGCTACAGGTGCAGTGGCTCAAGTTTGAGACCAGACAAGACAAAAAAGTTTGAGAGAACCCCCCCATCCCAATCAATGACTACCCAGGGAAGCATAAATAGGAGCATCATGATCCAGGCTGGCTATGGTATAAAGTGAGACCCTAGTTCAAAAAGCGCTGCAGAGTGGCTCAGTGGTATCTAGCAATACTGCCAGAAAAAAGAAAAGAAAGAAAGAAGGGAGGGAGGAAACTGCTGCTTTAAACTAGACAGTGACAAGTTGAACTCTGGAGCATGCTTGTGGCAGAGGGAGAATCGACATGTAGTCTTGCCTGAGCCCCATGCCATCCTTCACTGCAGGCACCCTGTACACTGCCTGGGAAACTGGGATGCCAGGCTTCTTCAAGCCTCCAGGGCCTAAAGGCAAGTGGGAGACTGGCAAACGTCAGTGACCTAAGTGTAAGACATCCCTGCTCCTCCCTCCCGGACAGCACTGAGGGGTGGCTGGATGCGAGAACAGCGCAGCTACTCACGGGGTCCTCGAAGCTAGTACCCAGGTGCTCCATGGCATAGTAGAGCTGTCTCTTCTCCCCTAGGGACCGCAGGATGAAACGCTGGATATCCTGAGTGGGGCGAAGCGGGCAGTAGAAGAAATGGAGAGACAAGAAGATGGGAGGTGAAGGCTGGAGAGCAGGCAGCCTCAGGTTCTAGGGGAGGACTGCAAGCTCCCCAAACCCTTCACAGTGCCCTTCACTGTGCCTCAACTTTCAGGGTGTCTGGGCTCAAAGCCAGGAAGGAGTGTGTGTGTGTGTGTGTGTGTGTGAGAGAGAGAGAGAGAGAGAGAGAGAGAGAGAGAGAGGGAGAGAGAAAGTGCAAAAGTGTATGAGTGCACATGTGTACGAACACAAAGTGAGGGCAGGCAGGAGTTAGGTTAAGGGAAGGGAGGAGGCAAGGGGCTGGACTCATGAAGAGCAGGGCGTTGAGGCAGAAGTCAGACTTGAACTTGGAGTTTCCTTTGGTGGCTAGAAATGATTGGATAAGAGGCCAGAGTGGGAGCGGAGTATGAGTTTCTTCTCAGGTGTGTTGGTTTGAGCTAGACCTACCCCAAGGGTAAGTGAGGAGAGGAGGTTACCTCTCTTGGTCCAAGGCCGGGTCTCGGCTCTCCTAGCTCAGCTTGGTACTGGGTCAGAGCACTTTTGGCTGCCTCATCTTCCGGGTAGAAGAGCAGGACACTGAGGACATTTTCCACGGCCTGAGACAGATTCCCCACTGGAAATGGAGGGGGGGGCAATAAAACAAGGCAGGAGGACAGCAACAACTGGAGAAGGTCTACCAAGACCATCCAACCAACTCCAAAAGCCCCCAGACCACCTGGCAGATATGCCCACCCATCTCTTCTTTCAGTAGCTTGCTCAAACATACCTTCACTGGCAGAGCTCAAAGAAGAGGAAGAGGAGAAAACAAAGCAAGGTGAGAGAAAGCAAGGGCAGGAGGAGCTACATGACCCATCTCCTGGGCTTTTCACAGTGGCGCCAAAGAAGGAGAGCAAATTAAGAGTCTTCCTTCTGAAGTGACGGTCCCCAAGGTCCCTGACAGTGAAACTATAGATCCAGAGACAGGAAGATGAGGCTCAAGATACCATCAGAGAGAAGTCATCACTCCCCATTTCCAACTCCCAGAGCCCACACTTCCCCAGCTGACCTTGAGCATGGGCCTCATACAGCCGCCTCAGCTGGCTAGGAAGGAAGTCGGGGACAGGGAAGCTGCGACCAGGACGGGTGGCTGTGTCGGCCACACAGCGCTGCCGGCACTGCAGGACCCGAATCCAGTGCCCTGCAGAGGACACACACAAGCCATCAAGCTTGTACATGGTCCTCCCTGGCACTCATACCCTCCTGCAGACACATTCCTAGCCCCTCACCTGCAATGGCCTCATAGAGTCCAGGGCTGCTCCCAGCCTCTTCCTCTTCTGCTCCCTGCTGCTCCTCAGGCCCCTCACAGCCTGCACGGCAGCTCTCCATCTGAGCCAGGCTCGCCTGCAGGGCCTCCTCTAGTCTGGGCAGTGCCAGTCCTGCCTCTTGGCGCCCCAATAACTCCAGGCCAGTATCGTAGGCTGCCTGTGAGGAGAGGGGAGCAGTCAGTCACCTGAAATTCAGGGGAGGGTACAGAACAACAGTGGGAAGTGAGAAAAAGGGGAGGGGCATTAGTCTCACTTGGGGCCTGAATTCTATGTCCCCCTGCACCTTGGAAAGGACAGATATGACCTCAGAATCAGATTGTTAGAACATCAGATTGCAGTGACCACAGAGGAAGGAAAGTAAGTCCTAGGACTCTCAGCAAAGCCACTGAGGACCAGTACCCAGATCCGCTGATGCCCAAACTGCACAGGGTGGTAGTCCTGTGTATCCAGTCAGTTGACTGCAGGGGCAGGACTGAGGTGGTGTACAGGGTCTCACCCAATGCGTGGGTGTCTCCAGGTCCCGGAAACTCTGGGGCCGAACCCCAGACATTCGTCTGTACTTCGCCATGTCCTCCCTCATCTGCAAGTGTGTTGGGTTTGCTACAAAGAAGGTGTGTGCTGCAGCTGCTGCCAGGTCTAACTTCTTCAACTGAGGAGTCAGAGAGATGGGAACATCAGATAGGGCTGTTAGACCTCTGTCCCTTCCCAGACACACACTCTGGTTCTGAGTGTGCCAGCTCCCAAAGTCTGTGGGAGAGTGATCAATCAGGACTGTCCCACCTCCCAACCTGCGGAGTCTCTAGAAACCAAAATGTAGGAACTCTCTCTCAGGAGTCTGCTACCTAAGAAAGGGAGGTCCGAAAACTTTGGAGTGGGTGGGACATGGCCAGATGGCCCCAGAGGATCAGGAGACAAAGTAGAAGTGATGGCTAGGTGAGGTGGGAAAGTGGGGAAGACCTGAGCCACTAGCAAAACCCACAGGTCTCTAGGACCCTGAGCTGAGGTGTGTGTAACCAATGCCCCTCCACCCTAGCCACGTAGGCATTAGCCACTATCCAGGTCGCGGTAGCTGGGCAGTGTCCCCTACCATAGCCCCAGAGGCCGCCCTCGGGGGCCCTCAGCATTGCTTTCTTCCCCTAGCCTTTCCGAAGCTCCCTCCTGCCCCAAGAGAAGGCTCACATTCAAACCCTACCGGTACCCCTGACACAAACTTCACACATGCCTCCTCCCATCCTTTGGCTGGTTTCGCCTCCACCCCCACGCTGCTTTGCATTCCAAGGAGAGGCTTCGCTGAGCGCACATAGGTCTCAATAAGTCCTACTAAAATAAAACTGCAGACCTTCCCCTCCATCTTTGATCTACTCCACCCCCATAACCTCTGCATTCCAACTTGGCTCCCACTGTCTCTTGGCTATCCTTTTGGGACCCCTACAGTTCTGATGGGACCTACTCGAATGTAGAGATCTCTTGTAGCACCCTCCACAGCCCCACCCCGAGTCCCGGCCGTGAGCATCCTGCCCTCTCCTGGTCAGCTCTAAGTAGGACAGCAACTAGGGGTAGGGGTAGGACCGTCGCTGGCTCCCGTACCTGGTAATAGGCCCTCTGCAGGTAGTTGTAGGGCTCCCGCCGGCGGAAGGCATTCCGCAGCGCACTCCCCACGCGGAGCCGCGCCGCGCCCCCGGGGCCCAACTTACGCGCTGCGCACCGGGTCAGGCAATCGGCGCGGCGGAGCGTGGCGCGGAGGAGCAGAGTCTCCCAGGACCCCGGGGGCTCCGGGGCGCCGAGAAGCTGGGCGGGAAGCGCGGCGCCCGGCTCGGCCGCGCAGCTTGCCCCGCAGTCCCGCCGCGTGCGGCCCAGCGCCGCCTGGCTTCGCAGCGCCTCCCGCAGCAGCGCCACGGCCCGCGCCCAAGCCCCGGCCGCGTAGGCGCGCAGCCCGTCGGCGTAGAGCAAATCGGGGGCCTGGGGGAGCGCTCCTGGGGACAGTGGGGCCAGGCCTGGGGGCTCGGAGGGCTCGGGCGACCCCGGGGGAGGCAGCAGCAGCAGTAACAGCAGCAACCGGAGGAGCCGGAGCATGGTGCCAGAGTCGCCGAAGGGAAATGCGGCCGGCTGCCGAAGGGAAATGCGGGAGCCAGGAGGGAGGGAGAGAAAAGGGGGGAAGGAGGGGGAGGGAAAGGAAGGAGAGATGGAGAGGAGGAGGGAGAGGAGGTCAGAAGGAATAAGTGACTGAGGCCTAACGGGACCCAGGCCGAGCCGTAGGGAAGGCCAATGTGAGAGACGGAGACAGAAATCAAGGAGCCCAGTGCCACGTCTTAAGACGAGTGGGTCTAGGATAGGTGAGAAAGGGAAAAAAAGGGAGAGGAGGGCAAAACGGGGGAAATTGGAGCAGGCTTGGCACCTCCGTGAGGGCCAGCGCCCGAGGCCCATGTTGTGCGGGTAACTGAAGCTGTTTCTCTACATCCTTGGGCCCAGAAGGAGTGTGGACGTCTCCCACATGCTCATCTACCCTCCCATCCCTTTGGAGAAAGAGCTTGAGAGTGTAGCATGGAGAAGGGTCAACTCCAGGGATGGGATACCGAGTCAGGCCTCAACCGTTTACTGACCCAAAAGTGAGCCCCTTGGATGGATTTTGGGGAAGCAAGCGGGTTGAGCACTCAAACCACCTCCACAAATCTGAACAAAGATCTTTCACAAACCAACAAACTCAAGGGTCTCTCCATGTCCCACCCCAGCATCGTATGTGCATAACCCTGTCTCTGCTATGTCTGTCTGCATGACAGAGTACGATGATTTCTCCATGTGCCATTCTGTACTTCTGTCCTCTGCCCCATTCCATTTTGTCCTCTCTGAGCTCCTCCACACACACTCCCCTTACTCCGCTTTTTGCCACCACAGTATAGGACACGCTGAGATTTCTATGGCAACACTTCAGATTTTAATACATTTTGCTAAGGGTTATGGAAGGTGAGTAGGGCATCTGGTCTGGTCACTTGGATGGGACAGAGCAAGGGGCTCCAGAGCCCAGATCTAGTGCCCGGAGTCTAGAGGCAGCTGCCATAGTCTCAGGGCCAGAGTGAGGTATACCCAGGCCCCCTCTGAGTTCAGCAGACCACTTGGGCTCACAGCGTCAGCTGGGGGAAGATGGGGTTGCCTGGGCCCCAGGGTCTTCCCCAAGCCCTTGCACTCCCCTCACTCCCTGTCAGGGAACAGCGTCTCCCTGCACTTAGCCCCAAAGGAAGTCCAACAGCTCTGCTATCAGGGGACCCAAGGGAGAGTCGGCGTGGTGAGAGACCCAGTGGCCTGGGTCGGCGAGGAGAAGGTCCTGGTGAGGCAGTAGGAGAAGGCAGAGGTGTCTCGTCGATGAAGGTGGTGATCTCCTCCCGGAAGAAGCCAGGACCCCGTGAGGGACCCCCACCTGACCCCAGAACCCCACTTTCCAGGAACTGACGAAGGCTAGCCAGCCCACCACCTTCAGCCTCTTCTTCATCCTCCTCATCCTCCAGCCTGTGTCTTTGTCCCAGGTACTCAGGAGGGCCCCCAAGGGCACGGCTCTGGGACGGGAGGACCCGGATGTCATCAGAGGATGACCACTTGTGCAGGAAGGAGCCTGGTGCCCGAGGGGTAGAGAAGATGTTGGTCTCATCATGGGACAGTCGGCGGGACAAGGGGACCTGGGAAGAGGAGCAGGTGAGACCTGGAGGTGCTGCAGAGACAAAGGTAGAGGGGAAGCAGGAACCAGAGTGGGGACACTCTGCAAGATGGTGCCACACTTTTCAACCTCTCTAAAACATTCACTCCAGTAGGCAAACCTGGTTCTGAGAGGCCTGGGGAGTCTTTGGTTCACCTGCCCCATGGCGTGCCCTGCAGGCCAAGGTTTGGGAATAAGGAGCAAGGTGCCAGAGACTGGAAAAGAGTTGTACAAAGGAGCAGGATAAGGGGTGGGTCCCTAATCCCATACCTGTAAGTAGTGTACTCTCTCAAGAGGGGGGAAGAGCATGTGCCGACCAGGTAACAGCTTCACCTGGGTGGGGTCCCGGCCCCCTGGTCCTGTGGCCCCATTAGCATCAAAACGAACTTTGCACACTCGGCCATCTGTATAGTCATCACAGGCCCCATCTAGGAGAGAAAAGGAGCAGAATGATTACAAACAGAGAACGCCACCCCTACCCCCTCCCCTTTTTAAGCTCAAGGAGAATCCTTTAGCTGCCATTAGTTGTAAGCTCCAAGAGGATGGAGCGAGTGACTTGCATTTATTGCACTCAGTGCTGAATCCCTAGTGCTTCATGCACACAGACCTATGTATTAAAACAATTACCTGTCCCCTTCCAAGAACCGATCCCAGAAATGGGATCTCTCTAGGAGGCTTAGCTTACCTTTAGTACCATAGCCTTTTTGCATTAGGACTGGGGACTGTTTCTCTGGCACTCTGCCTGGCAGGGGCCAGAGCCTGCAATGTGGACTTTTAGAAGGGAGCCCTCAGTGCAAAAGCAGAGTGGGCAGCAGAGTGCAGTGATTAGGCAAAGGGAAACCCGGAAGTGGCATGGGCTCTGTCCAGCAGGGGGCGCTCCAGGGCAGCCCATCTCCTTTCCAGAGAAGGGACCCTTAGAAAGGGTGGAAAAGATAATAGATGCCCAGGAAAGCAAAAGTCCAGCCCCTCCTCTGACCATCATCACCATCCTCCTCCGACATGATTGCCACACACTGCTCCCACACTGTGCGCACGTCGGCACGGTAGCGTTCACAGGACCAGATGAAGGAGGGCAGCAGCAGTGTCTGTGCCATGGAGCACCACAGCACAGCCAACACCATCCACGGAGGAGCTGAGTCTGACTTCAGGGAGAAGAAGCTCACCACCTGGGAGGGGAGAGAGGAAGAGCAGTTCAGGGCCCAGAGCCAAGGGGGCCCACCTGAACCTGATATCCACCCACAGTGCAGTAGTTGGTCTGCAAGAGATCAGGAAGAAGGGCTGGTGGCCTGGCTCAAGTGGTAGAGCACCTGCATGGCAAGTGTAAGGCCCTGAGTTCAAGTCCCAGTGCCATCACCAATAATAATAATAGGTCAGGAAGGGAGGTGGAGTGAGCAGAAGAGAAGGGACTGACTCCGAGGAAGGTCAGGGAAAATGAGGGAGACAAAGCCCTGGCTGGCTTTGGGAGAAAGAGGAAGAGACATGGTGCAGAAAACTTGAAGATGGAGAGAAATCCAGAAGTAGGGACTAGATGGGGTGGTGGATGGGGCCAGCACTGTGGAGTTTTCCCAAGGAGTGCTCAAAGAATGTGTGCTCTCCAGAGAGAATTAGGGAACAGGAATGGCTGTTCACAGCTGGATGGTAGGTTGAACAGTGGAGCGGAAGAATAGCTGATGGAGCTGGATGTGTAGTGGACTGATGATGGGTGATGGAGTTGAACAGATGGTGGAGCTTGGCGGAGGGTAGATGGATGATAGAGATGGGGAATCACAAATGGATTGGGGGAACAGGTAGAGGAGAGGAAGCTAGGTTGATAGAATTGGAGAAGAAATGGGGCTGCTCCATTGCTGATGGAGATCAGATGTTGATGGTGGGACCTGAATATTAGGGAGAACGGGGGGGGGATCCCAATCTCACCAAGATAGGCACCCCTGTGAGTGAATCATAGAGAAAGACGATGGCGCTGACCAAGTTGGTGACCTGCAGAGATGTCTTGGCAGATTCAGAGCCATCCAGTGAGGACCGTCGCTTGCCTCGGGTATCTTCCACCACAATGGCTGGCACCTCAAAAGCTGGCCGGGTACCCAAGCCCCCCAGCCCACCTGCCTTGGCTCCTCCGCTGCCCCCTGCTCTCCGGGCCTGCTGAGCTCTTCGGGGCCGGGCCCATAGCGTCTGATAGAAGGTGATGGCCACACAGACCAACCCCATGACAATGCCCCCAAGTAGCAAGAGGCTGAAGCAGACACCAAAGCCAAGGCCAATCTTGGAGACTATGAACTGGCAGCCTCGGGCGTAGTAGCGCTCGCCATTGTTGTGCCAGCCGATGGAGGGCAGTGTGGAGAGGATGAAGCTGACCATCCAGATGCCCATAACAGCATGCAGTGCCTGCTTCTTGGCGTTGCTGAGGCGGTAGTTGACCGGCCAGCGCACCATCCACATGCGATGATAAGAGAGCGAGGCGACTGTGAAACAGGTGGCCAGAGCCAGTGTGTAGTAGGTGGACACAAAGACCTTGCAGATGCTCTCGTTCCAGTCATAGTCGGAAGAAGCCTGCCGCCGTAGCTGTACCACAGCAAAGGTGGTGAGGGGCACAGCTGCCATGAGTATATGCGTGCCTGCCAGAAAGCAGAGCAGCAGCTCCAGTGGCTTGTGCTTCTGCTGCTTGGCTGAGATGCTGAGGATGATCCAGGCATTGGCCAGCAGTGCCAGGAGCCCACAGGCCAGCCAGGACAATGCGTTTGAGCGCAGGGAGGCCTCCTCTGCCCCCACCCCGCCCCGCGCCATCCTATCCTCAGCCTCACCCCCACCCCCTTAAACTCCTGGGGGGTGGGGGCTAGGTCTCACCCAGGAGCCCCATTCACAGGCACCCCCATGATGCCCACAATCCTTGCCCAGTAGTCGGGCAGGCAGCCCCCAGGCCCACTCGACTGCTTAGCATGGCATGATGGACCCAGCTGAGGCCAGGTGGGCAAGGCAGGGGAGGAGGCTGCAGGTCAGCAGAGGCAGTCCTCAGCCTCCGTGTTGGGCTGGGCTTTTTCTTAAATATCCCTGTAACTGATGGGGGAGGCAAGCTGGCTGCTTTCCCACCTAAGAGGCTGGCTGGGACGTGCAGGTCTCTTTTTCCTCTGGCTCTTGACCAGTCAGGGAATCTTCTGGATGCCCCAAGGGGTTTGGAGGTGGGGCTCAGCTACCTGGATAACTGCAAGGGAAAGATGAGATGTGGGAGGGGGAGGGAAAGATCAGGTTTAGGCTGTTCTCTAACCCACTTTTTGTGCCCCCTTTCTCCTGAAACTATAGAAATGACTGAAAACCAGGGGTCATTTCAAACATAATGAATCTGCTTTAAATCGATGGCCCCTGACCCCACACAGGTTACGAGCTCTCATGCTTCTAGATCACCAGGAGGAGAGGTAGTCTTTCCTCTCCGTCTCCCATCCCTTTGCAGCCCTTTCTCCCTGCTCTGCAACTCCCATCTTCTTCTTACAATATCATCTCAGTTGTACTCCATCCCTATCTTCATGTCCCTAAATCTCTCTTCAGAGCTACTGATGGGGGCGACACATGACTTTTTCTTCTTAGGGCTTCACAGTAAACAGCTTTCCTTACCTGCCAGTCTCCCAGCAGTCTTGGTGCTCAGCCCCATTTCCCCAAGTCCGGATGATAACCCTCCAGCTCCCCAGGGAAATAGAAAAATGGGAGAAAGGAGGCTGGGACTGAAAGAGGGGCTAGGAACCGGAAGGCGGGGAAACCACTGACATCAGAAGCATCCAGAAATGGAAAGAGGGGGAACTAGGGAGAAGGAGGAGAGTTTGAGCAGAAGAGAAAGAGGGGCAAAGTGGTAGTATCTGAAAATAGAAGGAAATGCTCAGAAGCCTCTGGAGAGGAGGCCTTGGAGGGAGGAGGGGGGACGGAGGTAGGGAACAGGGAGGCTGAGAAGACAAGCCCAGTGTTTGATGAGGTGCCCACCCCCACTAGCAGACCTTGAGTCTCCTCTCCTAGGCGAGAGAGCCAGAGCCTCAGTTTCCCTCTGATGGAATGGAAAGCCCTGATCTTAGTGACGCTTCAGTGAGCCCTAGGGAGGGGGCTAAGAGGAAATCATGCAGAACACTGAACAGAGTGGAGACTGTAAGGATGAGCATAATGGCTTTGGGGCAAAGGGGTACAAATGGTGCACCGCAATGCTAGGTCTATTTCCTGAGGAAGAACCACAGACCCTTGTTCTCCCCAAGAAGTCCCAGTCGACCCCCCACCTTTTTCTTCCCTGGGAGCCCAGTATACCCTAGTTGCCATGGCAATGGCCAGCCAGCGGGAGGTGGAGGGAATTGGTGGGGAGGTCCCCCCACTATCCTCCCCTACAGCCTAGGGCCCCTTCCCACCCACCTCCCCCCAGGCCTGGCTGGTGAGCTCAGGAAGAAAGAGATGGGGAGTCAGAGAGAGGAGGGAGGCCGGTAGGATGTGAAGGACAGAAAGAAGAAGGTGAAGGACAGAGAGAGCTCAAAGGAAGGGAGGAGGGGGTCCTGGGGGACTCCCTGGCCGACAGGGGGTCTGTCGCCCTTCGTGGTGAAGGGGTAAGGTCAGGCGGCTCCTCCCTGCTGTCACCCACCGCAGAAACAGCAGGTGGCTGGGGAGGAGGGGCGGGCCAGAGGGGAGAGGAGGCAGCTGGGGAAGCGGGGAGGCGCCGCGGGGGACGGGGCAGGGGTCGTCTTACCTCTGGTTGCGCCCAGCACTGCCTGGAGACGCACTCCCGACGCGGCTCTCCCGGGCTCCGGCCGCCTGCCGGCTCAGCTCGCCCGCCCTCCTCCTTTCTTCCCTCCCTCCCTCCGGGCCTCCCTCCCCCAGTCCCAGCCTCCCGGGCTCAGCCAGGCTGCTCGCTCCGTCTCGGCCCCTCCCGACCCCTCCAGGCCCCTCTGTCCCGGGGTCAACGGGCCAGCCCGGGTTAGGGAACCGAAGCACAGCTTTGGGGTGGGGGGCGGCGAAGGTAGGGCGGGGAAACTGGACGGCGGTGACTTAGAGGGGGAGGGGCAACGAAGGCACCGAGAGGGAGGAGGCGAGGAGGATGGCGGGGAGCGGGCTTCATTGGTGAAATGGTTGGTGTCCTGCCCCCATTCCATCCCGTTTTTCCAACACGAGCACGAGCCCAAAGAGGCAGCTGGTGTTGGGGACCGAGGAGTTAGCTGTTGGGGAGGAGGATGCGTGTGTCACTCTGTGAGGGTTGTTCTTGGGTAGAGCTCAGAGGGGCATGGACTGGAGGCTGTGAGGGGCTTGTGATGCAAGTAGGGCTGCATGTGGAGCTGGGGATGGCAAGAGGGTCTGAAAGGATGTAGGCTCATCAGTACACACACACACACACACACACACACAGCTTTCTCCTGGAACACAAATGCACACACAACACACACACACACACACACACACACAGCTTTCTCCTGGAACACAAATGCACACACAACACACATTACAGTTTCTCATAGTCCTTTCTCCCATCCACACCCATAGACACAAGGAAAGCACACACACAACCCCTACAGTCATGTCCCCTGGTCATATCACACACATGTAATTGCAGAGTCTTCACACACACACACACACACACACACACGAAAAGCATCTTTTTAGTAATAACTTTATTGTATTTTTCTGTCAGCTCAGGAAAGCAAGGGTGCAGAGTGGGCACAGAGTAAGCAATCGGGAGCCTGACAGCAATTGGGTGGCCTTTCTAGAAGAAGCAAGCTGGAAGAAAGGGACAAAAAGGAAAAGGGAAAGGGAGGCAGAGATCAGGAGGATTGCACTTTGAAGCCAGCCCCAGCAAATAGTTCCTGAGACCCTATCTCGAAACTATTCAACACAAAACAAGGCTGGCAGAGTAGTTTAAGCTGTAGAGCACCTGCCTAGCAAGCTTGAGGCTCTGAGTTCAAACCCCAGTACCACCAAATAAAAGGGGGAGGGGGCAAAGGGAAGGGGTTAGGACTGAGAGAGGTGTAAGGAAAAAAGAAAAGAGAGGGGCAAAGAAGCTGGGGATTCTGAGAGAAATGAATCAAGAGGAAGAAGACTACTTGTAACCCTGTGTCCCTTGTGGCTAAGGCTTCTTCCCTGTGTCCTGAGTGGCTAAGGGGAGAAGGAAGAAAGGTTCAAGGCAGGGTATGGATAGAAGGCCAGCACTATCACCTTTACAGGGGTCCCCTCAGAGAGTTCACTCCCAGGCTAGCCCCTGGCCTCCTCCCTCAGCAGAACTAACCTTACAGAAAGTTCTACACAGGGTGTTACAGGTCACTGGGCATTCTCTCCCACAAGGCCCGTGCTTCCTGCCTGTGACCTGGTAATAGGACTACCACCAGCAGATGATGAAGGAGGGATCTGAGGCAGGAAGGCCCTCCTCTATGTTCCTAAACTCTCTGAGACAGGCCCTTTTTGTGGGTGGTGTGCTCCTGTGGCTTCAAAGGTGCTACTGGGTGCCTGTGACCAGCCACTGCAGAGGTCTGTGTGGCATTTGTCCCTGCATTAAGAAGCAGCAGTGACTGTAGGGGTTAGGAAACCAGGTTAATCTGGACTTCAGCACTTGCTGGCTATGTGACCTTGAGTAGGCATCTAAATTCTGTTTCTGTTCTGTACACCAGACAGTCTTGGTCCCATCACTGTAGGATTTTTGTAAGAGTCGAATAGACAGATGATATGAAACTGGTTTATAAACTGACACATGCTGCTTGGGGAAGAAGGAATTGTGACTGTGGATGAGGGTGTGGGTGTGTGTTCAGGAAGCCTGCTGGTACCTGGGTCAGGGTGTGAGTCTGCGGCCCTGCCAACACAGAGTGAGAAGCAGGCAGCTTGGGGCAGTGGGGCTGGCTTCAGGAGCCTTTGGATATGCATCTGTCCTTGGGTAACTGAGTTATCAGCCAAGTTCCCATCCTGTTTGGTTCCAGGGTCCACTGGGACAGTCCTACGCTTCTGGTTTCCAGACATTCAGCCCTACTCTCCATGCCAGGCTGGGCTGGTCCTCTGCACTGCCCTGGGATCCAAGCAAACAGCTGAGGACAGGGTCCAGAAGAATAACCAAAGAAGGGCTAGGGCTTGGATGAAAAGGAAATGGGAAAGAATAAATGATGTGATTGATTAAGCCTCTGAAAAGTTGATATCAAGACTGCCAAGGCGGTTGGGAACAGAAGGTGAGGAACAATGGTTAGTCATGGAGGAGGAGAGCAGGAGGCCAGAGGCACTGGGATCTGCTACATTCATTTGGTCCACAGGCCTGAGCCCAACAGGAAATGCAGGACAGACAGATGGCTGGACCACAAGTAAGGCCTTAGCCTCAGATGAGACTCCGAGTCTTCTGCAGCCGGCTGGAAGAAGGAAGAATAAGGGGGCGAGTCCATTCCCCAAGTCCTTGGTGTTCTAGGACCTCCATGGCTCTCACACCCACTTTTCTCTTCCAGTGCAGTGCAGACCCTGGGTGTGGTTGCAGGCACACCCAGAGATATCGGAGGCCTGTGGTCTCTTCACCTCTGTCTTCTTCCACCTCGTCTCACCTCCTTGACCACCCCTTCTCACCCTTTCTCCTCTCTACCACATCCCCTTGACCCCCATCTTCTCAACAACACTCCTCCTCAACCCTCTTTTCAATTCCTTCCTTATTGCCTCCCCCCACCCCTTTCCTCCTCTTCTCCTTCCCTCCCTTCCCCTTCTCTCCCCTCCCATTGCTCAGCCCAGATCCTTACTGGGGGCACTGGCAGGTCTTCTTCTCACTGAGCAGCCTCTTGATCTGAGACATCCGTTCTGCCTGGCGCTGTCCAGGGACAAGGAAGGGAGTTGTGAGGGTCCCAGGCCTCCAGGAGGGAAGTGCCCCTTGGAGGGGGGAGTGGGGGGAGCTGGGAGAGAAGCATTTACTGGGACTGAAGCCATATGTCCTGGAATTGACTCTGCTCCTTCCTATCTGTCTCTCTGCGTCGGACCTGGGGCAGGGCCTGGTCCATAATGAGGGACCTTGGGGGCTGAGTAGAGAGAGCTGGCCAAAAACCAGTCACACACACAGGATACCCTCGTATGGGCCTCAGGTACTCAAGGGCCCAGTGAGGAACATGGTGGAGGGGTCTGGGAGACTTGCTTACCCGTTGGTGCCGACACCTGACACAGCAGAAGATGCAGAGTCCAGTTAAGACCAGAAAGCCTATGGTGCCCCCCAGCACAATAGTCAGGAACATTGGCTGGTCCTGGCTTGGTGCCGAAGACAAGACTGCATGAGAAAGAGAGGGGTACTCGGCACACTGTCCACCATTGGGGGCACAGGGACCCCTGGAGGACAGACTTAGGTCTAGTAGTTGGCCTGGGTGCACAGGGCTCTCAAAGAGCACCAGGGCTTGAGGATGCAGAACTAGGGAGGAATTTTATGTTTTAGAGACTACAGGGTGCTCTGGAGAGCTAGAAGATTGGCACAGACCCTGGGCCCTATGTATGAGTGTGTGTGTGCGTGCGTGCGTGCGTGCGTGTGTGTGTGTTTGGAGAGAAGCCAAGGAGGAGGGAGAGCTCGTGGTTAGGAGGACCCCATTCCTAGGCTGTAGATCTGAGGGTGAGAACTTGGAGGGCTCCATGTGAGAACCTATAGCCCAGGACCACACCCATCTCATCTTATCATATCACCTCTGTGACTCCATGACCCCTCCATCTCATAAGAATTGGGAGCCTGGGATTTTGGGTTGTCTCTGCCAACTTCCAGGAAGGTACCTCAGCTGAGGAGGCCAAAACTTGGGGTTATATCTTGGATCTTGGATCCTTACCCTCAAACTTGGATTCCAGCAGGACCTGGTCCTTGTCACTCAGTAAACACTGCCACATTCCTATCTCAGGGTTCTGCACCTGAACCATCTTCTCTTGCTTTGAGACATGGACCTTCTGGTTCTCCAGCTTCAAGGTCAGCATGAGCTTTGGAGGGCTTGGTCCCAGGACCTCGCAGACCAAATTGTTCTGGGTCTGAGCCACTGTAGAGGAAGGAGAGGCTGAGACTGGGAGCCTGGCCCTCAGGGTTCCCGGCACCTTCAAGCTCTAAGGGGATTCCATAGAACTATCAAAGTTTTCTTTGACAGACAGCTTTCTTTTTGCCTTTCAGAGCACATTTTCATGCAGTGGTAAGGTAGAAAACACAGCTTTGGAGGTCCAATGGTCTTGGATTTAATGGCGTTTGATCCCAGGGCCTTACACTTGCTAAGCAGGCACTCTACCACTTGAGCCACTCTGCCAGAGCCAGCTCTGCTTCTTACTAGCTGGGGTGTCCCTGAGCAAGATATTTAAAAAGCAGAGTCCCAGACAATAATTAAATGCATGAGTACATGTAAAGTATTTGACACCTGGCATGTACCAAGCACTAAGTGGTAGCTATTATTACTTGTGGCGTTGCCATAATGATGTAATGTGAAGAACTCAATGTCGAGTTCATTATTACTCATGTATAAAGAGCAGGGTTGTTGTGTGTTACAAAGGTGAGGAAGCAAGCCCACAGTGGGTGGGGGGCCTTAGCCAGGGTCACAGAGGGACAGGCAAAGGCAAAACTAGACCCCTGGTTGTTAGCCCAGACCCTTTGGGGATTCTCAGTGGAACTATCCTCAGGCTGACTCATGGATGTGGGTGAAGGACATTTTTTTTTTCGGTCTTAATTCAAAACCAGCCCAGGGCTGGGGGTGTAGCTCAGTGTTAGAGTGTGTGCTTAGCGTGCATGGGTTCCCCTGCACCAAAAATGATAAAAAACAAACCCCAAACCCAAAGGGTCATCAATCAGTTCAGCCAAGCAACCAGGACGTGGGCATCCCTTTTTAGGACCTTGCTGGCCTTGGAGGGAGCCCTAGCCAGCCCCTCAACCTCCTTCTCCTGTCCTCCCCTTCTCAGCCCAGGACCTCACCTCTCATCACCACCAAGTTCACTTTCTTATGCAACTTTCCTTTGGGTAGAGTTAGAGTCAGGTGCATAGAACCAGCATACTTAGGCAAGGCCTGGGGAAGTTTCAGGTGAAGTGGGAGTTTCTCAGCCAGTTGGAGCTTGGTGTCCAGGGTAACCTTTTGGACAGACACCTTCTTCTTCTCCATAGAGAAGGTGACCCAGGACTGAGAGGAAGAAGCCCCCTCTGCCTGCCACCTCAGCTCCCCACTCAGGTTTTCATCTTCAAAGTTAAGTGGGAAGGAGAACTCCACCTGCTCCCCCTCTTTCTTATACACTGTGTTGATGGTCTTCATAAAACCTGGAAGTGGAAAAGGATGGACCCTGGGTGAGGTGGAGGTAGGAAAATGAGAGAGTACATTGTGGGTTAGGCTTGTGACAGGGGCAGCAAAGAGATGGAAGGGGACTAGGTGAGTCCATACCTACTCCAAACCTAATTCCAGGTACTTAAATTCCTTCCTAGCTCTCCAGTCTTCCATCCACCTCTCCACCCCAACATTCCCACAGCAGCTCACTGCCCCCCTTCTCCCAGAAGGCTTTATAAAATATCTTCACCATGGGGGGGGTTCTCCCTCCTTGGAATCCCTGAAGGGGAGAGCCATTTGCTCTACACTCATTAGGTGCATAATTTATTTCCCTTCACAAAATAGGACCCAATCCTTAAACAGGGCTTACTATGTGACAGCCACAGTGTGGCTAGGTACTGTCATAGTTAGCATTTGCTCTATTTTACAGATGCAGAAGCCAAGGCAGAGGTGCAGTGCCTTGCTCAAAGTCATGTGGTTGTGACAGAGCCCATGCACTAAAGCACCACTCTGTGCTCTGGGCTTTTGGTCTCTCCACAGTGCCTAGCTGAGGATGTAGAGGTGCAATGCAGAGCATCATCAGTCAGGTTTACCAGGGTTAGTGTCCCTCAGTGCATAGATTGGCCACCTTGGTAGGAGTGCGGAGTTGAGGCCACAAGGAAAATAGATGCCCTTGATTGGGCTTTGATCACTTGATAAAGCGAGAGCACACAAGGGAGGTATGAGGATACGTAAGACACCTCAAAAACTAGATAGCATTTGTTGCCCTCGACGCAGAGAAACTAAAGCAGATACTTTAAAGCAACTGAGGCCAATAGGAGAAGGGGACCAGGAACTAGAAAAAAGGTTAGTTCAAGAAGAATTAACCTAGAAGGTAACACACATGCACAGGAAATCAATGCGAGTCAACTCCCTGTATAGTTATCCTTATCTCAACTAGCAAAAACCCCTTGTTCCTTCCTATTATTGCTTATACTCTCTCTTCAACAAAATTAGAGATAAGGGCAAAATAGTTTCCGCTGGGTAGCGAGGGGGGTGGGGGGGGATAGGGAGGGGGTTGGGGGTAAGGGAGGAGGTTGGGGGATAAGGGAGGGGTGGGGGAAGGGGGGAGAAATGACCCAAACATTGTATGCACATATGATTAAAATAAAAATTTTTTAAAAATTAAAAATAAAATACATAAAAGAATAAAAAATAAAGAGTGAGAAAAAAAAAAGAAAATAGATGCCCTTTATCACCCCTCCTTTGGGTCCTTTCCCTGGGGTCTCTCACATCCCTACTTCCCCATCCCTTCTTTCCCTCAGTCTACCTGAAGGGTGGCTGTAATCAGCCCTCTCAGGAGGAGGGGTTCAGAGTGTTCCTCAGGTCAGATCTCAGCTCTAGGAGTCTGGGCCCAGCCCACATACAGCAGAGGAAGGGTGGGAGCATCTAAGTAGGGATGAGGCTGAAGGAAAGGACATCTCTTACCCAGCACCTGGATCTTTATGTCAAACTGAAGCTCCTTCTGGTCCTGGGAAATGGTGCAGGTCCAGGTGCCACTCTCCAAAACATTCAACATGTATGCTGAGAGGACCTTGGCCCCACTGATAATTCTATTCTCTGGACTCTTGCATTTCATCAAGGGGCTACTACCAGAGGGGCCTTCCAAGGTCAGGGTCAGGTTCTGCCCCTGCAGCAGATAGGAATCTGAGTTGGGAGTCACTGTGGAGAGAGCAGGTCACCTGTGTCACATGCACCATTTGCAAGAAGGGAAGAGGAGAGTCTCTCCATTGTCCCTTGTCCCAACATTGCCTGTCCTCTCATCATCTAGCTGCCTAGCCACAGCCCAAGGCAAATCTTCCTTCTCTCTCTTTCCTTCTCCTCTCCCCTTTCCTCTCTCCCCTCATCTCTCTCCCTCCATCCTTTGGTTCCTTCCCTCTTATTTCTCTTTTTCCCTACTCTGCCTAACCAAAGGCTTGTGGAAGGTTTGAGGAGACTTGGTAGCCAGTCAGATCCATCTGTGAAATCCACCACCTCAGGCCCCAATTTAGTGTAGGGGTAGGAGTAGGGAAGGAAGAGAGGTGGGCCTGAGGTGTCTGCATCTCAGGCCTGTCCCACTCACCTCTGAACACCTGCAACTCCACCTCCAGCCTCTTGTTCTCCACTTCACAAATGTAAGTCTTTGAGTCCTTCACCTCAAGTTTATGGATGATCAGGGGAAAGGATCCTTGATCCCATGAAGCTTTTTTTGACTCAACACGATCCTTCAGATAGGATGTACCTGAAAGCAGAGGAGGTTGAATGTCCTGGTGACATGGCATCTCTGGCAAGAGTAGTACCCAGAACTCTCTTGATCTGATTGTAGAATCTTCCCCTCATCCTAATCAGAGAATCCCAGACTGGTGATCTTCCTAATCTCTTGAGTACTTGGTGTTATAGGCATGAGCCACTGCCCTTGGCTGATAGTATTTTGAACTAGTGAGATCATGGTTCAAGTTAGCCCAGGGAAAGACTTAGGAAGACCTCCAGCTTGACAAATAAGCTGAGCATGGTGGCATGTACTCTGCAGTCCTACAGCTAGTTACATGAGAGGCATAAGTAGGAGGATTGTGGTCCCAGGCCACCCCTGAAAAAACACAAAACCCTACCTGAAAATAACTAGAGTAAAAAGATCTGGGAGTGTGGCTTAGTGGTAGAGTGCCTACCCCGCAAGCACAAGGTCCTAAGATCAAGTCTCAGTACTGACAAAAAAAAACCCCAAAAAACAGGTTCTGGTGACTCATGCTTGTAGTCTTAGCTACTTGGGAGGCTGACATTTGGAGGATCATAGTTTGAGGCCAGGCAAATAGTTTCTGAGACCCCAAAATTACCAGAGCAAAATGGACTGGAGGTGTGGTTCAAGCAGTAGGGTGCCTACTTTGTAAACACAAAGCCCTAAGTTCAAACCCCAGTCCCACAAAAAAAAAAATGTGTGTGTGTGTGTGTGTGTGTGTGTGTGTGTGCAATCCCCAGTACCACCAAAAAATATTTTTATTTGGAGAGCATCAACTCTGCATGAATCATCTTCAGTTAATCTTCACAAGAATTCCAGGAAATCGGTACTGTTTTGCTTATGTTGCCAAACTCTTCCACATTTTGGGTAAGAGTATAAATCAGTACAATTTCTTTGGAAGGTAATGTATAATATGTATAGAAATTACAAATGTACATGCAAACCTAAATGTCCACCCAAAAAAGTTAGCTAAATAAATTATAGTTCATCCACTCGGTGGATTGTTGTGAGGCCATAAGAGAAGAATGAGGACGTTATTTATATATTGATATGGAACAATGTCTAAGAAATGACTAAATGAACAAAGCAAGATGTAAACAGACTACTATTTATTCTAAAAGGGAGGGCTAGAGGTATTGCTCAGTGGTAGGGTGCTTGTCTAGTGTGCCCAAGGCCCTGGGTTTGATCCCTAACACAATAAAGTAAGGGGGCAGGAAAAAATTTATAATATATATATATATATATATATATACACACACACATATACATACATAAATCTCCCATATCTGCAGGTTCTGTATTCATAGATTCAACCAACTGTTGGTTGAAAATACTTGAGCTGGGTGTCAATGGCTCACACCTGTAATCCTAACTACTCAGGAGACAGAGATCAGGAGGACTGAGGTTCAAAGCCAGCCCAGGCAAATAATTCAAGAGACCCTATCTCAAAAATACCCAACACAAACAAGGGCTGGTAGAGTAGCTCAAGTGGTAGAGTGCCTGCCTTGCAAGCGTGAGGCCCTGAGTTCAAACCCCAGTACTGCCAAAAATAAGATAAAGTGTACAGTGGACATGTGTAAGCTACACGCACATCATTGTGTATTGAGCATTCACGGAGCTTGGTATCTGGGGGAGTGTCTGCAACCATTTCCCCAGACACCAAGGGATGATTGCGCGTGGGAGTATATGTGGTTATATTTATACACATGTATATGCCTTGGGTATGAAAAAATGTTTCTGGAACAGAAGAAAATTATAACCTTGGTTGCCTCGGAGAAAAGGAAGCAGATACCTGTGAGACAGGTGTTGGGGGCAGGACTTTCAGTGTGTGCCCTTCTCAAGCTTTAACATTTTGACTCCAAAAAGAGGCAGGGCTGAGATGAAAATTTGGCATGTCTCTTCATTTACTATCTAACAACCATCACCCAGAGGAAGTTCCTTCCTTAGCTAGCCATTTTCTGGTTCAGTAGTAGTTCCAGAATTCATGTGGTGGAGGACTTTGGTACTCAATTTACATAGCAAACACAGAGGTTTTTCATTTACAGTGCATATTTGGAGGATGGCGGACATGTGGTGGAGAGTAAACCCCTACCTCCAATGTCCTGAGTACATGCCCTGAGCTGTCAGTCCTAGGCCCGCACTCTCTTTTTGCCTCGGTGCAAAGGATGAGGTCCTGTGAGCCATACACTCTCTCTTCTCTCCTCTCCAGCCCCCACTGTTCTCTCACCTTGCTCACCTTGCTCATCCTCTCCAAGAGACCTTTCCAGACAGCCTGGTGGCCCTGGGCACACACCTGCCCCCCAATTGTCCCTCTCATATGTGCCCAATCTCCCCTTTCTTTTGTCCCTTCTGTAGTTCCTACCCTGCTTGGTCTTTCTCCTATATCTACACACTGGTTTAGTTCCCCAATTTTTTCTACATTCCTTATCCTATTAACTAAACTTCTTCGGAGTGGCTTACTCTGGTCCTGTCCCCTTTTCACCTCTATGAATTCTCCCCTCCATACCTAAGTTCCAATTCCTTTCCTTATTCTTAGACTCTTGGTCTAGGTGCTGCGCGAAGCTCTGTTGTTAGTTCCCAAACCCATTTATATAGACCTGCCAGCTCTGCAGGTGATCCCCAAATTAATTTTCCAAGCCTCAACCTCTTTTGTCAATTCCGGGCCCACCTTTCCAAGGGCTCAGGGAATAGCTCTATATGAATTACCTGCCATTGCGTCACACTCAGTTGGTTCCAAATGAAATAAATCACCCTCATCCTCAAATAAGTCTTCCTTCTTGCTTTCCTTTTTTTCTGATGAAGAAAACCCTGGCCCACTTGTCCGTGCTGTCCCATACTTTGGAAAAGAGATTGCAGAACAGCATGAAGACCTCAGAGAATGGGCAAATCTAGGCTAAATTCATAGGGAGAGACCAGTATTGAATGAAGCCTTAAAAGAAGTATTGGCAGGCTCAGTGGTAGAGCGCTTATTCCTAGGTGCAATTCCTGGCACAGCAGGGGGGAAAAATACAGGTGACAGGTGGGGGGGGAGGGAAGCAGCAAGGACATTACAGGAAGGAAGGGAGAAAAGCCCCAGGAAAGTAGTACAAGGCAAGCTGTTAGGAGATCATCTGGGTGCTCCAACAGAGGCTCCTAGGTGTGGTCTAATGGCTGGGAGTGACACTGCTGTGGAAGTCAGTACTGCAGCAAGGGGAGAGAAATCCAAGTAGGAGAGACTACACATCCTTCTAGGATGCAGAAAGAATGACCAGGGTGCTCACTGTAGCTCAGGAGCAAACAAAGAAGAGAATGAAACCAAAAAACTGTGACAAGGAAAGGAGTGGCTATAGTTGGTGACGGGAATAAAGTAGAAAAAAACCTTGGACTCTGGTTCAGAAGTTGAGGCAAGAAAAGGGTGAAACCATCATTGGTAAATAACAGGAAGGAGGAAAGATCAGACCATATAAACAGAACAAAAGCTTTCGCACAAAACACTTAGGAAATTTTAGAAGCATAACGTTTTAATCTCACAGGCAACCAAGGAAATAAAGAAATGCGAATTAAAACAACTATGATATATTTTTTAACTATCAAATTAGCAAGAAACAAAAAAGGTTTTAATAATGCTACTCAATGCTGGCCAGGGTGTTAGTGGGAAAGGCACACAGTACTATTAGCTAGAGTAATGTAAGCAGACAGCATCCTTCTAGAATGTAGTGTTTTTTAAAGTTCACATCTTTTTAATTTTTCTTGGTGTTGCTGGAGTTTAAACTCAGGGCCTCACACTTCCTAGGCAGGGGCTCTTACTGCTTGAGCCACTCTGCCAGCTCCTAAAGGTCACATCTTTAATTTCATTTTGAAAACTTTCTCCTTAAAACAGTAATTTTAAAAAGCAAACTAAAATTTAGATACAAAAATCATAATTATATTATTGTTAAATAGGGTACAATGTTAGACAAAACAACAATGACAGTACATTACAGGGCATTCATTTGACAGACTATTCTGCATATTATTTTTCATAAAATTGGAATTATTCATAATATACACTGAAAACTTTTTTTTTTTTGCAGCACTGGGGTTTGAACCCAGGGCCTTGAGCATACTAGGCAAACACTCTACTGCTAAGCTACCTCCTCAGCCCCTGTAACATATATTTTAAAAGTTGTTTTAAGATAATCTTTGCTTTTTTTTTTTTTTTTTTGGCAGTACTGGGGCTAGAACTCAGGGCCTCCCACTTGCTAGACAGGCACTCTACCATTTGAGCCGCTCCACCAGTCCTGTTTTTGTGTTGGTTTGGTTTTTTTTGAGATAGGGTCTTGCAAACTATTTGCTCAGGCTAGCTTTGAACCTAGATCCTCTTGAGAAACTAGGATTACAGGCATGAACCACCAGTACCTGGCCTAATCTTTACTTTTTTAGGTTTGTCATTTGAACTACCAAAATTATAAAGACTTAACACTTTCCCCTTCCTTCACTCACCCTTCTATTACTATTAATAAGAAGTTTAGTGTGCGTTCCATGTTTTTTCCTTTTCTCATGCAAACACATATTCATACACATTGAATTTTTAAATTAAAATGGTATATGAATATATACATGACACATATAGCTTACACTTTTTTTTCCTTTTTCAGAATCCAGGGATTTACACGTAATAGGCAAGTGCTCTACCACTGAGCTATATCCCCAGCCCTTAGTTTCTTGAGACAGGTTCTCAATAGTAGCCCAGGCTGGACTACTACCTTAGCCTCCCAGAGTACTGGAATTTCAGGTCTGAGCCACCATGCCCAGTTTTAGCTTACTCTTTTCATTTAAAAGAATACCCTTAAGCTGTACGATGGTGACTCACGTCTGTAAACTAGCTACTTAGGAGGCTGAGAGCAGGAGGATCGTGGCTCAAGGCCAGCCAGACAAATAGTTCACAAGACCCCCATCTCCAAAATAACCAGAGCAAAATGGACTGCAGGTGTGGTCCATTTTGCAAGCATGAATCTCTGAGTTAAAACCCCAGTCCCACCAAAAAAAAAAAAGGAATATCCTTGACATGCTTCTAAGTATGTATACAAGGATGGAGCTTTATTCTTTTTGTTTATTTTGAAATTATAAAAGCTAATCTTTTAATTCCAGTTTGAGATACTGTACTTTCATATGCAGTTATAAGACATAACGCAGAGAGTTCAGGCATTGTGATACGTGCCTGTAATCTCAGCTATTCAGGAGGCATAGGTAGGAGGATCACAGTTTGAGGACAGACTGAGCAAAAACTTGAGACTCTACATGACAAATAACTGAAGCAAAAAGGGATGGACGCATGGCTCAAGTGGAAGCACGCTTGCCTAGCAAGAACAAGGCTATCAAATTCTGGTAAAGAAAGAGAGAGAGAGAAATCCTGTGTGTTCTTTATTAGGTTTACCTCATTGGTAACACCTTGGAAGCTAAAATACAGAACATTTTCAGCACTACACCAAAAAGATGCTTATGTAGTACATCTCCTTCCCTCCTGGGCCCCTCACCCACTTAGTCCCTGGCAGTCACTAATCTATTGTCCACTTCTATAATTTGGTATTTCTAAAATGTTATAGAAATGAATTTACACAGCATTACATTTTGAGATTGACTTGTGCATACTATAATTCATTCCTTTTTTTTTTTTTGGTGGTACCAGGGTTTGAACTCAAGGCCTCATGCTTGCTAGGCAGGTGCTCTACCACCTAAGCCACCCCACCAAGCCTTTTTTGTGTTGGATATTTTCGAGATAGGATCTTGTGAACTATTTGCCTGGAGCTGGCTTTGAATCCAATCCTCCTGATCTCTGCCTCCTGAGCAGCTAGGAGTACAGGCGTGAGCCACAGGTGCTTGTGTGTTTGCTTTTAATGGAAGTAGACGAAGTATCATCTACATGATTCTTGAAATCATATAATTTATGTGATAGTTATTTTTCTAGTACCCAATAAAAAAGGGCATGACTATTAAAACAATAAATTAACTTACTATTAGAACTGACTTGCCACCAGGAGTTAGAGTAGGGAAATTCCAGACAAGTGCCACTGAGTCACCATCAATACTAGCCTTTTGTGGTCACAGAGTTTACTAGGAGGAGGTCTGTTTGCTTCCACCCTGGATTGGGGTAGGGAAATCTTACCTATGATCAAGTAGCTGTTCTGATTCCCCAGGACCTTGATCTGGTTGGTGAATTTCCAGGAGAAGGGCACATTTCCCTTCTGGGAACCTTTGCAGGGTAGTTCCACTGAGTCTCCTGCTTTGCCCAACACTACTTCCTTTCCATGAGTGACAGCTGGGAGTAGTGCTGGGTGGAAAAGAAGAGGGTGAGGCCTCAGTGCTACAGCTGACTCCCACTGCCCCATCAGTCCCACCTCCCATGCCATCTACCACAGGACCTCAGGACTGAGCACTTACCCACTTGCAGCACCAGGAGCAAGTACCTAAAAGAGATTCCTTGGTTCATTGTGGCTTTGCTGAGGTAGACAGGGGCCTGAGTCATCAGGGACCTGAGCCTGCAAAAATGGAAGGGACAGAGATTGATAGGAATTGTTAGTCACCAGACTAACAATTTGGCCTGGAACATACAGGGACTCCTCTCTCCTGCAGACCTCTTATAGCCAGCCCAGAGAACAGGATTTGCACACACTAAGCAGAGACCCCCACAGTGATAAAATGTGTTAAGACTGATTGATGTTAAGATTAGGTGATGTTAGCAATAATTTCTCTGGCTTGACATAGCATCACATCTCACATACACAGAAGTTAGTATATCTGTGGTTGTCAAATGCAGCCTAAAGTGTTACAGCATTTATATAGAGTTGTAGGACTGACAGAGTGCCTAACAAGCACGAGGCCCTGAGTTTGACCCCTACTGCCACCAAAACAACAACAAAAACCAGTGAAGAATAGTCACTGGTGGTGACTACTAGCTAGGTGGTAACACACACCTGTAATCCTAGCACTTGGGAAACACCTCCAGTTAGAGACCAGTGTTGGCTCCATAGCAAAACCCTGTCTTAAAAATTAATTAAAGAGCTGTAGTCTTCTAATAAAAATAGAACAGAATCGAGTGTGGTTGTACATGCTTATAATCCCAGCTACTTAAGAGGCAGAAGGATTGTAAATTCTGGTACGGCCCCAGGAAAATTAGCAATACTCTATCTTTTTTTTTCTTTCCTTTTTTTTTTTTTTGGTGATACTGGGGTTTGAACTCAGAGCCTCACATTTGCTAAGCAGGCATTTTAGCCTAGCACGCGAGGCTCTGGGTTCAATCCTCACTACTGAAAAAAAAAAGATTTCTGCCCTGTTTTTACTTTAAAAACATAAGCATAGGCTGTCAATTCTACTTCAAGTAAATAAAATTTATACAATAAATACTGATATTTGTACCTATTATAGTTTGTCATATCAGCCAGGCTTAGAAACCTGTGGTAGGCGTTTAAACTAAGCTCCATTTCTTTATGTTTCTGTCTTTTTTGTACTGTGGGACCTCCAGCATGCCAGGTCTACTACTGAGCCACAACCCTAGCCCTGATATTGTCATTTTCAAAGGTATCATATGTTCACAGATGTACCTTGTGTTTGGACTGCCTTGTCTTACTTTGATTTTATTGAGTCTCCTGCCTGCTTGCCAAAAGCGAGGCTGCTCCAGGTCCTCATACAACTGAATACAGAGGCCTCCTTGGGCTTCAAGCCATTGAATAAACTGAGATTTCAATGTGCCACACGCAGAGGTGGAAAAGATGTCTGTTGTGGCTTACCTATTTATTTTAGCTATTTTCAGGGCTGGAGTTGGAACCCAAGAACTTGGGTGTGCTAAGCCAGGGTTCTACCACTGCTGGGCATCCCAGCTCTTGTTGCTTTGAGACAGATCTCATTATGTAGTTTAGGCTGGACTTGAACTCACTATGTAGTCCAGGCTGACCTCAAACTCATAATCGCCCTGCTTTGGCTTCACAAATGCTGGGATTGACAGGCACATGCCAAGTCTGGCAGATTTCTTAATAAAAATTTTCAAAAAGTGGACTAGTGGAATGGCTTAGGTGGTAGAGCGCCTGCCTAGCAAGTGGGAGGCCTGGAGTTCAAATCCCAGTACCGCCAAAAAAATATTTTTTTTTTTCAAAAAGTAAAAACAAAAATAACAAAAATTTTTTTTGGTGGTACTGGGGTTTGAACTCGGGATCTTGAGCTTGCTGGACAGGTGCTCTACTACTTAAGCGATGCCCCCAGCTCTTTTTGCTGTAGTTATTTTTCAGGTAGAGTCTTTAGTGTTTGTTTGGGCCTCCTTGGACTACGATCTTTCTATTTTATGCTTCTGTCACCAGCAGAATCATAGAGAAAGGTCTTGGGATGTGTTTGGTAACTTAAACCAAGTTGAATTGAACGTAGGAGGGGAAATCACTTCTCCAGTATTCAATCTAACTGTTTCTAAAATGGTTCATTTAGGGCTGGGGGTGGGGGTAGCCCAGTAGTAGAGCACCTGCATAGCATATGTGAGGCCCTGGGGTTTGTTCCCACAAATGCAAAAACAAAGACAGATAAATAAATAATAAATAAATATCCTATAAGTGTGTGCCCACCCCTGCCCTGACCTGACTGGAGCCAAGTCACCCAATCACGCTCTTTAGTCTCCATCCTCTGCCCCGCCCCCCCAATCAAGGGGCTGTGATTGGATCATCCAGACTCACTTGGGGCTGGCCAATGGGAAGAGTCAAAAAGAGATGGGCTTATTTCCTGGCTACTGCTATGTGTTCCCCTCCTCCTGCCCCGCCCCACTTCAGTTCCTATCTGGTGGCCCTCACTGGGTTCCAGAAACACCAATTCTGCCTCTTTAGGTCCCTCCTTCCCTGTGCACCTCAACATGCTGATTGGTTTCCTTAGCCCTGTAATTAACAACCTTGTTCCCTCCCACCACCCCTCTCCGCCGGTAGGACTGGGTTTTGAACTCTGGGCAAGCATTCAACCGCTTGAGCCACTAGTCCATTTTACTCTGGTTATTTTGGAGATGGGGTCTCGTGAACTTTTTGCTAGGGCTGGCCTCAAACCACGATCCTTCTGATATCCACCTCCCAAGTAGCTAGGCATGACCCCCAGAGCCTGGCTAATAACTCCCTTTTTATGCAGTCCCTTGAACCATCTGGGGTGGATCCTGTTTCCTGTTGAGCACCAATACATAATTTTTGATAGGGATGTAGCACTGAGAGGAGGTGTTGGGGACTTGGTCACCCTAATGAGGTTTGGGCAAAGCTAAGAAAAACCCTTGTCCAGTTACTCGAACTGCCTGGAAGAGGAATTACTCAGGGCCTAATACATGGTAGGTGGTTGAGGTGGATGGATGGATAGATAGATAGACAGACAGACAAGTACAGACAGATGGGTGACAGTTTTTGTTTAAACTAGGGAAATAGGAAGAGAAAGGTCAGGAAGAAAGTTTCTGGGGAAGGAGGGAGGGAGACAAGCTGCTAGTCAGTGCTGGTTAATGGGGAAATTGTTTGCAATCAGCACAGTTAGTTAGCATAGGATGCAATTTGGGGAAGGGTGTGCTGAGAAGAGAGGGGTAGGGTCAGCCTCATAACTGAAAGGGTTCCCACTGTTTTCCATTCAGACTGACTGTGTCCTTGGTGAGCAGAGGATGGAAGAAGAACAGTCTCCATGTCCCTCTCTGAGCTGCAAATTCAGCTTACCTTGGTAAGGTACCCATCCCCAGACAGTCTTTCCTCCCCTCCCTCTCCACCATTTTGGGGTCTGTACAGAGGGCTGCCTCCAGCACACTGCACAGGCCCATCACACTGAGGGCTTGACCTGTGGAGGAGGCTGTGGGTTTCCAGCTGCAGCTTGCTTCGGTGCTTTGGGCTTCCGCTGCCACCCCAGAGACCTGGCCTTTGATTCCCACATCCTCAGCGTCCCCAGAGGCACACTACCTCACTACAGTAGCATCCTGTGTACCTCACGCCTGGGAGAGGCTGCGAGGGCTGGCTGCCCCCCTTCCCAGGTCCTGGTGCCCCACGCCCCACTTGCTTCTCTGCTCACATCTGTGCATTTCTGAAAACCCTCCCCCCTGCTTTTTCTCTGCTCACATCTGTGCATTGCTGAACCCCTCCACCTCCAATTTTTTTTCTGCTCACATCTGTGCATTTCTGAACCCATCCCCAGCTCCAATTTTTTTTTTTCTGCTCACATGTGTGCATTTCTGAATCTTGTTTTCCATGCTCATGCCTCCAGTCTTCAGCTCCCTGTGTGTGGCTCTCTGCTGTTCCTCATATACCAGGAACCATTGTGGCTGTCCCTGTCTCTTCCAGGTTGGAGTGCCCCTGCCTCTTCTTTCTCATCCTTTCCCTCTCCAACTGCCACTAAGCTCTAGATCCTTCTGTCTTGTAAATAGGCAGCCTGGCCTCTGGCAGGCAAGCAAGCTTTCCACTCGCTTTGATCTGGCAGAGCCTACAGAGCATGGCCTGGAGCTGAGAGGGGTGGCAGAAGAAGGCTGCAGGGTAGGAGGGACATGTGGACAAAGGGAAGTGCACAGAGTTCCCCCCAAGAAACACACAGAGGCCTCAGGGGAGGACATGAGGGAAGAAAGGAAGGAGAGACCCAGAGGGGCTCCTTAAAGCAGCGGCCAACCTTCTCACATCTACTGTCACACACAAAGAATAGGGTTAGTCGGACAAGCTAGAGGAGAGGCAAAGACATGAAGAAATTCTGGGAGACACATGTGGAGCCAAAAGAGAGACAAAGAGGGACCAAGAAAGGGAGGGCACTTGAGGTTCCTGTGCCCTCACCCTGGCCCCTAGGGATGAGGGGAAGAGGGCACAGACCCACCACAGGGACAGTCTGTGGTCCCACAGCACTTTTATCTTTCCCCCACGGGCCCTCATTCAGCCCACTTAAGCCCAGGCGCGGTATATGTCTCCCACCACACACCCTGTCAACTGCTGCAGGTTTCCTACAAACTTCCTAGAGACCGTGACCCTCTAAGGGACCCCTGTGGTTCTGTGGCTACAACCTCCACCACCATCTCCTTTGCCTCAGACGCCCACGTGAGGGTCGCCGTGCCCTCTCTTCTTCCCTGGTCTTCAAAAGAAAGGTACAACAGACAACTAAACTTCATGCCCTGCAAACTCAGATCCCCAGCCACCTACTCCCTCCTAATACCTAGGTATCTGATTTCCCATCCTCATCAAAGTTATTTATTAAATTAACATTTTCTGGGTGTCTAAAATATGTCAGACTCTTGTCACCTCACTCTGGGTCACTGTCACCTCACCACTGTGGCCAGGAATGGGGTCTAAGGCCATTTTCGAGGCTCTGTGTATAAACCTTTGGTGGTTGAAAGAGGAAAGTGTCTCCTAAAAGTGTCTGGAAGCCTGTCCTTAGGATCTCTCATCTGACGTGAAGGGCGGCCATTTTGTATCAGTCCATAGAATCTAACAGTACAAGAAATTGTCAAAATGAGAAGTAGCATCGATCTCCCACATTGGGTTCTTCTCACAGCCTTGCACCCTAAAAATGTGTCCTACAAGAGCAGGACATTTAAGAAGAGCGATTCCACTCAGAGTGGAATCTTTGAATTTTGAAGAATGGTGCCTTTCTATTTTGAGAAATCAAGATTACACCCCAGGAGCCTTCTCTCCCAGCATAGGTCTACGAATTGAAGACAGAGACACCCAGAGGAGCAGCATCACTCCCCTGTGAGGGAGGTCTGAGGAGAGGGGAAGGGTCTGAGGGTATGGGAGGTAGGAGGCTGGAGTTGTGTAGGTCATCCAACATAAGAAATACGGAGTCCTGTATCTCCTCCATTCAGCAAACCCAGGAGATTCGAAGCTCCTTTTCTAACTCCCCAGGCCTCCTGAGACACCTAGCACCTATGTTCTTAGAATAAATTCTTCTAATGACATATTTACATATGTGCATGTTTGTGTGTGTGTGTGTGTGTGTACTAGCAGCTTATGCATAGGACCTCAGTTTCAACACTTTTTGAGATTTTCAGCTCCCCGTTTCCTTACTGAAGCTAACTGAAATCAAAGTGCTTTTAGGCATGTTATTCAAAAATCCTAAAAATCAAGCCAGACATGGTGGCGCAGACTGAGATAGGAGAGGATCACTTGACCCCAGGAGTCTAAGAGCAGCCTGGGCAACATAGCAAGACTTTCTCAAAAACAAAACAAAAATCCTAAAAATTCACAAAAGTAGGGAAAAAAATTTTAAATATGCATAAGTACAAAAGAGTTAAAAGAAGCTATATGGATCACATGGGTTATGAAGTATTGCAAGTATGGGCTTTGGTGTGAATTTTTAGTAACTGCGTCACTGGGAAAATTGATTTGGGGAGAATTAGCTCTAGAATCTATTCTACTTCTCTTTTTCTTGCTTTTATTGTTTCCTCCCCCTTCATTTATTTATTTCTGCCTTAATACCTACTCATTCTTTTGCATTTTTCCCTCTCCTCTTTGGCTCTGTTTTTGTTTTTTCTCTCTTCCAGTCTTCACCTCTTCTGCCCCATGCCTCGTTGCCTTCCACTGCCTTTCTCAGCTGTTCCCTCTCTGGTCTTGCCATTCCAGTCAGTGTGCCTCTGAGGAGTACTTACTGCTCTGGGGCTAGTGGCGAGGCAGAGAGCAGTATGCTGTAGTCCCTGGCCTCTGGAAGCTCACAGCTCCAATGGGAAATTGCTGTTCATGACCCATCCTGTGATACATGCAAGAGAAGTTGGCCAGAGCTCTGGGCAGAGAACAGAGTCCAGAACATTCGGTGCGTCTGCTGCCGTATCAGCCTTCCCTTCCCAGTTCCCTGAAAAGGACTGAAGCTGCCCCTTACCTCTGGGCCTGTTGTTCTTCCCTTCTACTTCTCCCACAGGTATACAACTCGGAGCTCTGCAACCTTCCACCCAGTGGGGAAAAGACTTTGTTACTTCTACAGAGAGAAGCTTAAATGAAGAGAGACAGGAAGCCGGGTAGTGAGGCTCCTCTACACCCCAGGCCTAGGCCAGCCCTCAACGTCACCATCTGGGGCTGGGGGCCCTCCCATCACCTCCAGCCACCACCCCTCCCCAACTCTCAGGGAAATGGTGGAAGTGAAAATGCCAAAGTCATAGGAAAAAAGTTAAGAAGAATCAGGCTGATGAATGGAGTGCCACTGTTGTGTGGCAAGAAAATGACACATTAATGACACAGATCCATCAAGGCTTCAGGGAAAGAAGTGAGAGGCAGACATGCATGTGAATGTGTATGTGTGCATATTGTCACCAATTTTAACCCAAGCAGTTTCTTCTTCCCTCTCGAAATCATAGGACCAATAAATGAAACTAAGCACTGGTCAAACACTGAATAAAGTTTTATTCTTGGCCAAAGAATAGGAGAAGCCAGAGGTGTAGCTCTCAGATCAGCCTCTCAATCCATGGAGGCTGAGAATGCCATAGATACAGGTTAAGCAAAATGAAGGGGAGAGAGATAGAGGGGAAAAATAGTCAGCTGGTTTCTAAGAAGGGGTGGACATTTTCTAAGAATTCCCTTGAGGCAGCTTTTTGTTCCTTTTAGGGTTGCCTTCACTAGTTGTCATGGTGATTGTCAACTGTCATGGCTGGATACCGTGGGGATTTTACTAGAGTAATGTAATCCAATGAGATGGTAATGAGCCTAACAGAGAATGGAAGGGGCCAATTTGGCTCCCATTGCAGCTGAACCTGGACCAATCCAGTTTTATCTCGTGCCATTCCTGGGGGCTGAGTAGGTAGTTGGCCAACTTCCTTCTCTCTATAATGCAAAATACATGCTTAGTGTATTGTATAAGTCTCATCTATAGAAAAGGCATGAATAGCTGGGCAGCTTGGCTCACGCCTATAAATCCCAGTTACTCAAGAGTCGGAGATCGGGAAGATGGCCATTGGAGACCAGCCTGGGCAAAAAGTTCTTGAAATTCCCATCTCAACCAGTAAAAACTGGGCGTGGGGGAGCCCACCTTGGGTCCCAGCTGCATGGAAGATGTAAATAGGAGAATCACCGACCAAGCCCACCCAGGCAAAAACACGATAGCCTATTTGAAAAATAACTAAAGCAAAAAAGGGCTGGGGGCATGGTTCAAGTGTTACAGCTCTTGCCCAGCAAGCACAATGCCCTGAGTTCAAACCCCAGGGTCACTAAAGAGGAAAAAGCATGGATTAGCCCTTTAGATCACAAAGGCCACTCTTGCACTGGGATTTGAACTCAGGGCCTCACACTGGAGAGGCAGATGCTCTACTACTTAAGCCACTCCACCAGCCCAGTGTTGAGTTGGTTTTTTTGAAATAGGGTCTCATGAACTATTTTCCCGGGATGTCTTGGAACTGCGATTCTCCTGATCTCAGCCTCCCAAGTAGCTAGGATTACAGGTGGAGCCACTGGTATCTGGCCCCTCACATATTTATTTACCAATTCCTGTGGATGTTACTTTCTGAATGGCTCCAAATCTATCCAGGTCATTCTGTACCAGTACCACCATTCCAATCCAATTTGCCACTGTCATCCTTTGCCTGAATTACTCTTGCCTCCTCCCTCCCCGATCTGTCTCCTAGCCTCTCCATTCTTCCTTCCTCCAGGTCATACTCTACACAGCAGTCCAAGAGATCACCGAAAAAACACACCTGTTGTCAGGCACCAATGGCTCATACCTATAATCCTAGCTACACAGGAGGTTGAGATTGGGAGGATCGAGGCCAGCCCAGGTAGAGCCCCATCTCCAAAATAACCAGAGCAAAATGGACTGGAGGTTTGGCTCAAGTGGAAGAGTACCTGCTTTGCAAATGCAAAAGCCCTGAGTTCAAACCATAGTCCCCCCACCCCCCAAAAAAAGGCACACATGTGAGCTGGCCATTTTCCAACTCTGAAAAAGTGGCTAGCAGCTTGCAGCACCAACAATACAGCACTCCTTTAGACAACCATTGTACTTCATTTTCAGCAAAGGTGCATGATGCTACTTCTCATTTCAGAACACATTGTTCCCAAGGGTTGTGATTAACTAAAATTAGTATTTACTGCTTCATCAAAGACATTCTTCAATAAAACTGCCATTAGCCTTTTTTTTTAGTACAAGTGCCTGGCGGAGAAAGGCTATGGTATGCTTTGGTGCCACTGCCTTGATTTTTGCTAAGGCAGCAACTTTGCCCAGAGTGCTTTTGCAACATCATCGTGATGTCAATGTAGTGACAAAGACAAGTAACACCTATCTTTATTTTTTTTTTTTTTTTTTTTTTGGTGGTACTGGGATGTGATCGGAGGGTCTCACACTTGCTAAGCAGGCACTCTACCACTTAAGCCATTTCACCAGCCCTACTTTGTGTTGGGTATTTTCAAGATAGAGTCTCCTGAAGTATTTGCCCCAGGCTGGCTTGAACCAGGATCCTCCTGATCCCTGCCTCCTAAGTAGCTAGGATTACAGGCGTGAACCACAGGTACCCAGTTACATCCTATCATTTTTATAAAATAGCATGAACTTGAAGACTCCCAGAAGGTCTTAGGGCACTCAAGGGTCCACAGGCCACACCTATACTTTGAGAGCTGCAGATCTACGTAATTTTTATTCATTCCTCGGCTCTTAGCTATCTCTTTAGTTGTCCCCAAAATCTATTTTCTTCTCCTTAGGACTAGAACCCTCGATTTTTAGCTGAGCTCCTAGCTACTGAAATTTATTATTTATGTTGAGATGGGATCTTGCTGTATTGCCCAGGCTTGTCTCGAAGTTCAGGTTTTAAACAATCCTCCCATCTTGACCCCCTGAATGGTAGGGGCTACAGGCTTGTACCACTGTGCCTGGATTGAGCTATGCAGATTTAATACATACTTCTCAGACTCCTTTGCAGCCAGACACAGCCAAGTGACTCAGATTTGGTTAATGGACTGAAGTGCGAATGTTGGGCTCAACTTCTGAATTGTTCCTTAAAAGGTCTTCTTCTCCAACTTTCTCCTTCTTACAGGCTGGAATACAAAAACCCTATAATATATAGCTTGCAACCAATTTCTGTAGGCATGTAAGTTTGCTGTAGTCTAAACCTCTCCATCCAATCATTCATTCACATATTTAAGGAGCTGTAAGTGTTCACCAGCCGGGGCACTCTGGTGTTGGGGGTGTGATGTTGAATATGACAGATACAGTCCTACAGCTCTGACTTGTGACAGGGACATTAAACAATGAATAATTTCATTACAAGTGGACAAGAGCTACAAAGAAAGGAGCCCAAAGTGCTGGGAGATCTTATCACAAGGGAAAAGCATATTATAAACATTGGGAGCTTGGGTTCTGCTGAAAATGCAGAAAAAATAGTGCAGACTTGCCCAAGACTGGAGTTTCTTTCTCACATGAAAGAAGTTTGGAATGGGTGGTTCAGAGGTGAGGGAGCACTACTGTACCCCAACACCAGAATCTGGGTTGTTGGCATCCTTGTTACTTTTACCATCATGACTTCGCCCATAGTCTGAGCAAGCCACTTGAGTTCCTCAGCTGAAATAAGGCTTCCCTAATGTAAGGTCTTAGACTGGAGGTGTGGCTCAAGTGATAAAGTGCCTGCCTAGCTAAGCTCAAGGCCCTGAGTTCAAACCCCAGTGCCACCAAAAAAAAAAAGGTAACACACTTGCCAAGTGTAAGCTCTCCTGGTACCCCATGCTTTCCCTTTATAGCAAGTGTCCAATTATAATGAAAGTTATTCATTGTTTTTTGTAAAACACAGTGACCATGTGTCTTACCAGCACTCTCCCTCTTGGCCCTGGTAGACCCTTGATATTTGTTGAATACTTTTTTTCATACTAAATTTTATTGATTTTTTTTTGGCGATATTGGAGTTTGAACTCAGGGCCTTGAGCTTACTAGGGAGGCACTCTACCCCTTGAGCCACACCTCCAGCCCTAGTTTATTGATACTGATTGACATTAAATTTTTTGTGGTAAAATATACATCACATAAAATTTACCATTTTGCCAGATGCTGGTGGCTCACGCCTGTAATTCTAGCTACTCAGGAAGCAGATATCAGGAGGATTGTGGTTCGAAGCCAGCCCAGGCAAATAGTTCACAAGACCCTATCTTAAGAAAACCCATCACAAAAAAGGGCTGATGGAGTGGCTCAAGGTATAGACTCTGAGTTCAAACCCAAGTATTGAAAAAAAAATTACCATTTAACCATATTCATTTTATTTATTTTGCAATCCCCAGATTGCACCCAAGGACTTACACATGCTAAGCAGGTGTTTTAACACTGAACTACACCCTCAACCCACATTTTAATCATTTTTAAATGTATAGCTCTGTGGGAGTAAGTGCATTCACACTGTCAAGTCAAAACTTTTTTTTTTTTTTTTTTTTGAGACAGGATCTCATTAGGTAGCCTAAACTGAGATCGAACTCTCAATCCTCCTGCCTCAACCTCGAAGATGCTGGGATTACACGTGTCCTACCACCCGTGGTCTTAAGTCAAAATTCCTGAAACCAAAAAATCTCTGAAGTAAAAGCATTTATTGAATCATTACTGATGCCAGCCAGTCCTAGGACTGGGCCTGGGACAAGTTCCCAAAACTTCCAGCAAAAGGCTAAATAGCATTTGGAACTATATTCACTGGACCAAAAAAGCTAAGAACATTTTTAGAACAAAAATTCAAGGAAGGAAATAAGAAATTGCTTACATTGAACCTATATTGTCTATAGATAAGAGAAGCAAGCTAATGTGAGCTGGAAAAGTTTTGGGATTAAAACAACCCTAAAGAGGAGTACTCATTGCTTCTGGATTGGTGGAGGATGTAAGTAGCATGTAAGGGGCTGCTGATGTTCTACCTCCTGGGGCTTTAGTCAAGATTTTGTTTGTTTTTTTCTTTTTTAATTATATTATCTTTGTACTAGGGGTACAAATTATCGTATTATCATGACATTTATGAGAGTTCTTACAATAGAT